AAAATCCAATTATTGTTTTTCAAAATAAAATTCCAGCTACAAAAACTATATTACGAAAAACAAAACTAACAAGTTGACATAACAATGAGAATTCCATTGGCTCAGCGAGGCATGAACTAGACCTGGCTAAGAATTTCCGATTAGTACTGAGCCAGCAACTGTTTGCCGCTGCTACTAGCCGCTGTCCATTCTAAGCTATGCCATTCTAAACGACAGAAGAGAGAGTGAAAGTCATGTAAGTGAGCTAAGTGCTTGGCATGTTGGGAATGTGCGTTCAAGTGCTACGAATCGAAGAGCAATGATAAAAAGGTTTTCGGAGGGAGATGTCAAAACAAGTTTGAGATTTTATTTTATTTATATTGAGCTCTTATTGCGCGTTAGCTTGTTTCGCCAGGGAATTACCGTCTGTGTCGAGCCGGTAGAGACATAGAGGGAGACACAAAGACTTGATTAGCCATGCCTAAAATTTCCACTACGTTGACAAAAAAAAACATGAATGGACATCATGCACATAAGGTGTAAAACAGCTATAATCTATGGTTTGATATACAGTTTGATCGACGATACCCGATATTGGGCCAGGGCCAAGCAGTCCAGTGTCCCTGCGCGTCATTTTATTTTGATACCTAATCTAATGAAGATTCTGATAAGATTTGATACGATTTTAAACGTTGCTCCGCTGTCCACGGGCTAATGGTGTGCTGGGAGTATTTTTTTTTCCGAATAACTCTGCTCAAGTGGCGCTCACATTGACTGAGACGAGGCTGAGGCGTTGACTGCGTAGCGCGGCAGCGACGCTTACAGCGCCGCACGCCGGGAACGTGTTCGAGTGGGCCGAGCGTAAAGAAAGCGCCGACGCGAATGCCATTGCCATATAAATGGAGTTGCCAGCGTCGGCTAAGCGTTCAGTCGATCTGTAAACAGCAAACGCGACGCGTCCTAGCCACAGCACACAGCATCGATCTATCAGCGACTGCTCTCCATTGGTTAGACATAATCAATTTGTGTTTCGCATTTTACTACAGTTAAAATGCCAAGAAACGCATTAGACACGATCGAGACTCTGCCAATTGCTGGGCACTAAAGTGAGCGGAGCGGCAAGCGCTACGCTACATTAAACAAATTCTAAAAAAATAATTTATACACAAATATAAATATAAATATATATATATATAAATAATTCATTCGCGCGGCCAACGGTCATAAAAAGTGCTAAAAACAATTGAAAAAATCAAAAAAGAACCAGTGATAATATATAAAAAAAATATATAGATAAAATATCTCTTATTTAAAATATTAATAAAATATTAAACAAAAATGAGGTTCATATGCTGCGGCAATAAGGGCGCCATGGCGGTCAATGACAGTGGCGCTCAAGTGGAGAATAAAAAGGAAGCGGAAGCTGAGGGCGTCGCAAGTAAGTTGAGATAAAAGACGTTGAATTAAAAAGAGTTTTTAAATTGCATTTTCGGAATATTGAATGCAGTATGGGAAAAGGGAAAAATTAAATTTCTTAAAATTGTATTAAAGAAGATATACATAAATGTTAAAACCTGAATGGTCGACTGTGGAATGTGGAAGGAGAAAGCAGGCAAATGAATAAGACTGAATATGGAGGACCTAAGAGAGCTTTCAAGCTTTTAGATAAGGCAGTTTACTCTTACCTTACGAGCGTTAACCTTGAAATATTGTTTTTAAAGACAAATATTGGCTTATGAGACGTTTCTAAGAAGCTTAGCTAATGGCCAGAAAATCAAGCAGAAATGTGAAATTGTTTTAATATATAAAAAAAAAACTCTCAAGCTAGTAATATTGCCTAATGCTAAAGCTGTTAAAATAACTTAAAATTTATTTATTTTTTGAACAGTTTTTAGCTTTTTTTTGGTATTTTTCACAAGTGACTAAAGTGATATATAGTAATAAATACATCACAGTGAAGGTCAGTAAGGTATATATATTATTAAATAATTAATTTAAGCTGTTTGCATCTAAAATAATTTTCAATAAAATTCAAAATTTCAAATTTTTTAATTTGATTTATAAAATAATTTGTAAGGCTCCACCCAAATTTGGAATTATTGAACTTGAATTGCCAGACGAAGCTGTTGAATAAAATTTTAATATTGAAAAAAGATTATACCTTTAATTAATTTGAAAAAAAATTAAGCAAACCTGTCCGCTACAGCTTGATCTATCGATGTTCAAATGATATGCAAATAATTTCTGGGGTTTTTTTAATATTTTTTATTGTTAACAACTTTTTTTGGTTCACTTCAAGTTTTCACGTTGAAGTAAAGTGAAATTTGTTTTTTGTCTGCTTGGCTTAAGCGCAATTTGAAGCTGTCTTGTTAAAAGTAGAGTGAAATTGTTTACAACTTGGTCACAAGCAGCCACAGCAGCAGCTCAAATGCTGAAGCTGTGCGAAAGACGTGACTTTGCTGCTGATATAAAACAATAAATGATATGCATATTATGATTAGCCACTGCTAATTAGTTAATATACCTGGCATGGGCATAAACAAAGCTATACGAGTTGGCCTGGATAAGTATGAACATAGACAGGAAGCTGGCAGCAACAGCAACAGCAGCAGCAACAACTGCAAACATTTGCTCGTCAGAAGTTCGTATGCAAATTTGTCGAGCAATTGGAGCTTGTCTACGCTGTCTAGCCGCTGCTGAACAATGAAAAGCAAACAAACACATGCCCAAACGAGCTACCGACAGGCAGTCTGTCAAGACTCTCAAGAGACACTCGTTTTCTCGCTCTCTCTCGCTCTCTTTCTAGTTACCAGTTTGGCAGAGATCAACTTTAATGAGCGACAGATCTCGAGCTAGAGATACACATAGCGAGCTAGCTGCCAACTAGAGTTACTTTCTTTGAACAATTAGCTACGTATATGGCTAAAACATAAATCTCGCATATTTACAAACAAAAAAATACACACACACGTATATATATATATATATATATATTTAATGTTCCTGGTTTGACTAAAGTGGGTTGCAAATATCACAGCTGTACGCAAGTTATAAACAATTAAAAAAGGGATCGACCGCTAATTACAGGAAGGCGCTTGTACTTAACTTACAGTATGGATAATATATTTTACATATCTATATATATTTGTATATAGATTTATACATAATATATAATATGTATAAATTCATTTGCATTTTGTTTTCTTTTTTTTGTTTGTGTTTTTAGCACTTGTCAAGCCTTCCGTACAGACATAAATTATATATTTAAAGCGATGCCAGGCTTTGATTATGTAATTGTAATGTACTTAAAATATAAAATGAAAAATCTTACGAATTACAAATTATTCAGCGCGGCAAGGTAGGCGCCAGGCGCCAGGCGCCAGGCGCCGGCACAAGGCGTTAGGTTTATGTTTATGTTGACACCAGCACAGCAGGTAGACACGCACACACGCACACACACACATGCACATGACACACAATCGACTGACAAGTTCAAAGTTGTCTAGGCGGTAAAATGAGATACGGATAAAGCAACAGGTAGAGCCGCAGATACATTTAAAAGTAGATATAAAGATACAGCTACAGATATAGATAAAGATACAGCTAGAGATACATCTATAGCAACATATACAGCTTCGTCTATAGCTATCGATGCAGCTGCTAAATAAAACACGCTCTTCAGACACGGATTTCAGATTAGCCCGAAAAAAGCCCCCAAAGCACAGCGGCGTCTGAGCATGAGTAAAGTGCATGATAGACCCTCGCTAGGTGACAACGTGTTATATTAATTAATTTGGATTTTTTGTTATGGACAGCAATCATGACGCATAATTGAGATTTGCCGTCGGATATGGACAAGTGGGCTAGCTGGCTTTAACTGTTTGGCCATTATCAATTAGCTCTATCTGATGGGTATTTCAAAGTCATACGGCTATACGTGTAGGGACAAAGCAAAAAGTGCATTAAGTAATAAGTGCTTAAGACTTATCGCTGTCACTTGAGCATATGCCCATGGCGTATACGCAATATTTGCGCAAACTATCAGCGAATAATGCGATTCGATACGATGTGAAGCCCTTGATAGGAAAGCAAAAGGTACTCGAACTATGGGCGATGCATAAGCGTGGCAGCAACCATTTCAATTCGCTGTTCACACGAAATCGTGCCACGCTTTCAGATGTGTGAGAAAACTAAACAAAAAAAGCAACGAATAATTGATATTAGATTTACGTTTGCAATTGAATTCATCTAATTGCGAGCAGTCAAGTTTAACGGCAGCTCGCATACATAATGCAAAAAACTTAAAGCTTAGTTAATGCGAAAAGTTTAAGCGGTTCAGCATAGCGCTGCGATACTGTAACAGCTTATGGCTACTCGAAAGTTACAAAAGCTTTGCGCGAAAGCTTTAGCTAAGCATTGCCAGATGGAAATATCTCGAGGCAGCTAACGGATTATGTTTAAATATTTTTGTTATGATTTTTTGAGCTTTTTATTTTATTTTAAAATATTTTATTTTTAGCTTTCAAGCTAAGTTTTTCATAGCTAGATTTTAGCGGAATATTATGCAAATTTTTAATAACAATAATTATTTGATTAGCAGCCTAGATTGATCATGATTGATCGTTAGCCTAATGGGCACTCACAGATTATCTAAGCATTTTATAGCCAGATTTCAGATTTGTTCAATATTGATTTATTAACAGCCTTCAGTGAACATGATTGATCGTTGCTCACAGAGCCTAAGGGCTTGATACAATTATATGATTGAAAGCATTTCATTCCTGATTGATTGTTGTTATTGAGTGCACTTGTTGATGTAGATAGACGCTCGATTTAGGCCTAGCTATAGGCTAAAGTTCTAGAACTATAAAAATGAAATTTACGACCGCACATGTAGATAGACAGCATCTATATTAGATTACACTCATCTCGTTAAACAACTGAACGTTCGAATGGTGTTGGAAAATATTTGAACTTGTTGTTTGCACAGTTGAGATGCTCTTCAAGGCATCAATCAGTTAGTTATTGAACAGGCTCCGTGGCGTGCGGTCAGAGCAGTTTTCACAAAGTATCTTCAAAAGGAAATAAGTGAAACAAGCACAAATCTCAATACTGATTACCTAATCAACAAGTTTTTACTTTTAAAATGGTTAAGAATCGTCGCTTTGAAGATGAACCAGGTACTTGTTGAAGAACTTTTGATTGAATTAAATGTGTTTCTCTGTGGAAATTGTTGCCTTATGAACGCTCTCAAACGTGTGCATTTTTGCTTCTTGTCACGCTTCAATAGAGTCCGAGCTGATGCAGAAAATACATAAGCGCGATTCGAACTGGTTCCGTAAAGCATTGTGATCCGTCAAGTGTACAGAGTGAAGAGGTTATATAACCTGAAGAGTTAGACGCGACAAAAGTCTTTTAATCTCTATAAATTTGTAATCTCTATGATAAGAAAAGTCACCTATAAGACGAGCCCCTCTTAGCGCATAGCACAGTCATAGACTGTGGAAAAAAGTAGCACAAAGCGGTTATATCTCAAAAATGTTTACTCATCTAAAAGAAACTATCTTGAATCTAATCTTAACTCTACTCAGGTATGCACACAGCCCACAGGGTCTGCTTGGGGCGTGACTGTGACGACTGCCAATAGGGCGCCAGTTGAGGACTAGATAAACAATCTCTGTGTGAATGGAATATTTTTGAGGTCTCCTAAAGTTAACACTGGTAGTCGCATAGGTTAATCTGAATCGTCTGCCTGCAGATAAGCCATATCGTAAATCTGTCAGTGATATATGTGCCAAGAGTGAAGAATCTGATATGCGATTAAGTGTGGGGGCAGCCACGTGCGGGTGTGTGGTTAGGTGGCGTCTTATTGGGGTAATTCCACTTTGAAAGCTACGCAAAAGAAAGAAACAGGCTAATGACCTACAGGCGACCTACAGCCAATGCAGCTGATAGCGGAGCATATATTGACGGCGTCAATCATTCATTGACTAGCGTTGAGTGTAAGCAAATACATTCATATACAGACGCTGATGGCGTTATTCTGTGACTCAAGTTGAAGTTCAATATTACGTTTGATAATACTTTTGAATCACGTCTAATCGCAATCTATTTTCAGCATATGGTCTGGGTGTGCGGCACTGGCAAACTTTCCTCTTCTTCTTCGCGCTAACGGTGGCCTATGCCCAACGCGTCAATCTGTCTGTGGCCATTGTGGCCATGACAGATGCTGAAGCAGCCAATCCAAATTTTCCGGTACGTCCTCAACTTTATGGACGCCTCTATTTAACTGATGCTAATTGATAAGCTTCTTTCGCAGGAGTACGACTGGGCAGAGAAGACGAAATCCCTGATCTTGAGCAGCTTCTTTTGGGGCTATGTGATAACGCAAGTGCCCTCCGGTCAACTGGCACGCAAATTTGGTGGCAAAATCACTTTGCTGGTGGGTCTATCCGTTTGCTCGGTGCTTAATTTGCTGACACCCGTCTTTGCCGACTGGGGCAGCTGGCAGTTGGTTTGTGCGCTGCGTGTCATGGAGGGCTTGTGCCAGGGCGTTGTCTTTCCATCGATTCACACGCTCATCTCAGCCTGGGTGCCGCCCAATGAGCGACCTGTGCTGGGCACCTGCGCCTATGCGGGCAATCAGTTTGGCACAATTATCATGTTGGCCACGAGTGGACTCTTGGCCTCCTCGTCTATCGGCTGGCCGAGCATCTTTTACATTTCTGGCGGCGTTGGCTGCGTTTGGTCCGTTTTCTTCTACATTTGGGGCGCCAGCTCACCGGCTGAATACAAGAAAATCTCTGTGGAGGAGCGCAAGATGATTGAGATGGCGCAGGCCAGCGAATGCGTATCGGAACAGCCCAAAGAGAACTTACACACGCCTTGGCTCAGTTTCTTTACGTCGCCGGCGTTCCTGGCGCTGATTGTGGCGCACAGCGCCAACAACTGGGGCTTCTGGACGCTGCTCACCGAAATACCCAGCTACATGAAGAATGTACTCGGCAAGGATATCAAATCGAATGCCTTGCTCTCCGCCCTGCCCTACTTTGCCATGTTCTGCATGTCGTTTGTCTTCTCGGGCATTGCCTCGCAGCTAAACAAACGCAATTGCATCTCAACTGTGACCAGCCGGAAGCTCTTCAACTCGATTGGCCTCTGGGTGCCCATGTGCGCACTTATCGGTCTGGCCTATGTCAGCGCCGAGCAGAGTAATCTGGCTGTCGTTCTGCTAACCATAACTGTCGGCTTCAATGGCGCCTGCTATCTGGGCTTCCAGATCAATCACATCGATCTGTCGCCCAATTTTGCGGGCATTCTGATGGGCATCACCAACTGCGTGGGCAATATTATGAGCATCATTGCGCCTCTACTTGTCGGATTCATTGTTACCAATGAGGTAAGTCGCATTAGAGCAGGAGAGAGATAGTGGATGGCATATTAATGCGTTTACTCTCACTTTGCAGCACGATGTGGAACAGTGGCGCGTTGTCTTCTTCATTGCAGCTGCCATTTATCTGGTGGGCAATGGGCTGTTCATCATCTTCGGACGCGCCAGTGTTCAGTCCTGGAATGATCCACCTGCCAAGCCACGTCGCAACTCCACGCCTCAGGTAGAGTCTCAGCATTGAAAGAGAGAGACAACGAGAGAGATAGAGAGAATATAGCTAGTCATCTAGTTAACATTTCCAGCCCACTAACTGCTTCGGTCAGCGTTCGACTGAAGCCAATCACTTTAAATGTAATGCGAGAGTTGATGTATTCTAACATCGTTTGCTAATTGTATATATTGTACTATATGATATATATATATATATATATATATATATATATATATATATATATATATATATATATATATATATATATATATATGTCTATATATTATTTGAACTTGTGTTAAGTTTAGCGTAGTCTATAGCTAAGGCCTTGTTGCATATGTATATAAAGACCAAAAGACGAAACAATAAAATGTTAAGAAATCAAATCAATGTGTCTTCAATGAGATTTTAGATGGATGTATCTTAATGTTTATCAACTAAAAGTACTTCAAACTTGCCTAAGTCTGGAATGTGGTCAAGTGCCAAGTGAATGTATCTTAATGTAACTCAACCAAAAGAACTTCAACTTGAAACTTGCCTAAGTCTGTAATGTGGTCAAGTCCCAGTAGTAGTCGTTCCTATGCCTAGCTTTCTTCTGTCTTTAAGATATATTTTCCTATGCAAGTAGACTCGTGTGCACTTTCTAGTTTGCATCGCACCTTTTTAGCTATCTAATCAGAAGTCAAATTTGCGTATGTCAGTCACACGAGGCGTCATCAGTCAAGCGGCTGTGACAGTTGAACGCGACAAGGAGGTTAGTCCAAATTTATGAACTCAGAAGTCTCAACTCAAGATGCTGTCTAAGATGCTTAGCGGCTAGTTGGCAAAGAGTTTTCAGAGCGAAAAGTACGCGAGGCTAAAATACAATGTCCGAGAATATTAAGATGACAAAAAATCGTCGCTTCGAAGCGGAAGGTAGGTTGTGCGTTATATCTGATTGGCAGGTGTGAAAATATCAATATACTACAGACATTCAGACAAATCGGCAGCTGTTTCAAGAGACGATCAGCACTGCCTTTAGGAACTCTTTAAAAATACTAAAGCTGAAGTCTTTGAAGGTGCTTTGAAAGTCATTAGCCTTCAACTTGAAAAGGCGTTAGCTTATACATAAATCAGTTAAGCTTAGACTCATGCTCTAAATAAATATTTACTGTAATATATTCAATCTTATCAACTCCATGCATTACGCTCACTGCGTCAGCTCTCGAAATCGAGTCATTTCCAGTTAACTATATATAACTAAGAAATCAGCTTATCTGACACTTAAACTTTGATAGCAGTAGACGTCGACTTCATAAAGATAATTCAAGCACGTCGCTTGAATATGGAGGCTCGTCTATGCCAAGACTCTCCTCTGTCCTTATATCTATATATCAATATATCGATACTTATTTATCGATACTTACATTTCATTTACTAGATTCTGGCCTGGGCGAGCGCCACATGCAAATATTTCTGCTCTTTTGCGGTCTAATGGTTGGCTTTGCCATGCGTGTCAATCTCTCCGTGGCTATTGTGGCCATGACGGAGCTGCCCGTAAGAGACGCCTCAAGCTTCAAGCCTAGCTCAATTCACTTTAATGCCACCTCTTCCTTTAGGAATATCAATGGACCGAGCGCATAAAGTCTCTGGTGTTGAGCAGCTTCTTTTGGGGCTACGTCATGACCCAGGTGCCAGCTGGCATCTTGGCACGTAAATTTGGTGCCAAGGCAACGATTGTAACAGGTTTGTCCATCTGCTCCGTGCTGAATGTTTTCACGCCAATCTGTGCGCGACTGGGAGGCTGGCAGCTGCTGTGTGCCGTGCGCTTGCTCGAGGGCATCTGCCAGGGCGTACTGTATCCGTCGTATCACACGTTGATCAGCTCCTGGGTGCAGCCCAGTGAACGCGCCTCGCTGGGCACCTACGCCTACATGGGCGCTCAATTCGGAACTATTGTCATGTTGGCCACCAGCGGCATATTGGCCGCCATGGCTGGCTGGTCGAGCATCTTCTATATATCGGGAGGCGTCGGCTGCATTTGGGTAGCCGGTTATTGGCTGCGTGGATCCAGCTCGCCAGCGCAGTCGAAATATATCTCGCAGGAGGAAAATCAATTGATTGAGTTAGCGCAAGCCAGAGAAGTGGATACCAAATTGGAGCAGCCCAAAGAGACTTTGTCTCCGCCCTGGCTGAGTTTCTTCACATCGCCAGCCTTTCTGGCTCTCACAGCCACACACTGCGCTTCGACCTGGGGCTTTTGGACGCTGCTGACACAGATTCCGAACTACATGAAGAATGTCCTGGGCAAGGATATCAAATCGAATGCGCTGCTCTCCTCTCTGCCTTACACAATGATGCTCTTGCTCAGCTGGTTCTTTGTCTGGCTCTCCAAGATATTGCAAAAGAAATCCATTTCGCTCAGCTTCAGTCGCAAGTTCTTCAATACACTTGGCCAATTTGTGCCGATGTTGCTGCTTGTCGCACTGGGCTATGTGCAACAGGAACAGGACACACTCGCCGTCATCTTGCTCTGCCTGACTGTGGGCCTTAACTCCGGCTCTCAGCTGGGCTTCGTTATCAATCATATTGATCTCTCGCCAAACTTTGCTGGCGTTCTGATGGGCATCAGCAATGGCATTGCGAATATCATGAGCATTGCGGGTCCACTCTTAGTTGGGGTTGTTGTTACCAATGAGGTGGGTTGCCCGATTTGCATCTATAAACTTAGCTGGCTAACTCTCCTCTCATTATTTCCATCTACAGAAAGATGCCAGTCAGTGGCGCATTGTGTTCTTTGTGACAGCCGCTTTCTATTTGGTGGGCAACGGACTCTTCCTCATCTTTGGCAGCGCTACGATTCAGGATTGGAATGATCCAACAGCAAAGAACCATCGCAGCCCCACGCCACAATTAGAGTCACAGAAAGAGGCCGAAGGCAGTTAGACTAAGCTTAAATATACGTCACATGTTATTTACTACAATAAAATAAAAATAATCTTGATAAACGCTGAGTTCGTTGAAAGTGTTTCCGAAAAGCAGGCGCAACTGCCACACGCATGACTAGAATGATTGGAAGCAAAGCCTCTGGGCAGGGTTCAGCATATCTCCTGTTGGGTGACTCCCGATTGGCGCAGTGTGGGAGGAAGTGTGATTACTCGATAATAAATATTTTGATTTTAAGGCGACTATGTCAAGGTGTTATCTAAGTAGGGCCAGTTAGCCAGAGGGGAAGTGGGCTTTACGACTTGCAGATATTGTCAATCAAGGCTGAACAATCAGACTTCGTTCTATCCATAAATCAGCATAATTATCTAACGTCAAGACGTTTATATTGAACACGCTTACGTCTGATGTTCGCTTACTTCACTCACTTGCCGATTTATTGGGCAAATACTTTAATACTTTGTGTGTCTGTCAGCTAACTGAAATCCTATTATCTTATCAAATCGTAAACATATTTGCATAAAAACCAGAGGCATCTTCTATAATCTGTCTAGTCGCTCGGCTGACGTATCTGAATCTCTTTAAAGATACAGAGCAAACCCATTAATTGGCTTAGTTTACAAAGAAGTTTAGCGCTGTGCGGTAATGCTACACAGAGGACACAATGGCAAACAGCAACGGCATAGCAAAAAATCGTCGGTTCGAAGATGAAGGTATTGCATTACTAACAGGATCTTAAGAGTGACTAAGTCTAACAGTGGTTCAAGCCTGATCTAATTACTTGGAATATGTGATTAAGGACTGCTTTGGTATATCCTTCGATCAAAGACTTGACGTCTTACTTCCTTCTGAGCTGTATTCATAAGCTCTCCACTGATCTTCATCTCTTCACCCATGCCAGTAGAGCTCTTTTTTACATGGGGTAATTCATTTTTAATTTACAGCCCTTATCTGCGCAGATAGCTTTCCTTTGGTCTCATACGCGTAATCTGTCATAAAACTCAATTCAACCGAAAAAAAGTTTCCACTGTCGCAAATAGCTTTGTTAACTGATGCAATATGTGAATGGAATCCGGATTATTTTTGTTGCCTTAAAACTTCATTTGATTTCTCTAGAGTCGGGATTTGGCGTGCGACACTGGCAGATGCTACTGATCTTCTGTGGCCTAACAGTGGGCTTTACGATGCGTGTCAATCTTTCCGTAGCTGTTGTGGCCATGACCAATGCCACGACAATAAATCCCGATTTTCCTGTAAGTGAACCGCAAAAGTTCCCAACTAAAGTACAATTTTTATAAAATTAATATCTATTTGCAGGAATACCCCCTGTCGGAGAAGACAAAGTCATATGTATTGAGCAGCTTCTTTTGGGGCTATGTGATGACGCAGGTGCCCGCTGGCACCTTGGCACGTCGCTTTGGCGGCAAGGTAACCCTGTTGACCGGCGTTTCGATTTGCTCCGTGATGACCTTGTTGACACCGCTTTGCGCTCGCTTAGGCGGTTGGTCGTTGATTTGTGGCTTGCGCCTGGTTGAGGGCATGTGTCAGGGCGTTTTCTTTCCCTCATGCCACACGATTATAGCTAAATGGCTGCCGCCAAGGGAGCGAGGCACGTTGGCCACGTATGCCTATACTGGGAGTCAATTCGGTACGATTCTCATGCTGGTCACGAGTGGATTGCTTGCGTCCTCTGTGGCTGGCTGGCCGAGCATCTTCTATGTCTCAGGCGGCTGCGGCATCGTTTGGGTTTGCGTCTACTACATTTGGGGTGCCAGTTCGCCAAACGACTCCAAGAGTATCACAGCTGAGGAATTCAATATGATTGAATTGGAGCAGTCTAAGGAGCGGACGTCTAATGCGAAGCTGCCAAGCCATCGGCAGGCGACGCCCTGGTTGAGTTTCTTGACCTCGGGACCATTTCTGGCCCTCACCGCTACGCACTGTGTCTCGGCTTGGGGCTATTGGACGCTGCTAACTCAAATACCCAGCTACATGAATAATGTTCTGGGCAAGGATATCAAATCGAATGCTCTGCTCTCCGCCCTGCCATATGTGGCCAACTTTGTGCTCAGCTTCCCATTTGTCTGGATATCCAAGTGCATGGAGAAAAGGGAATCGATATCGCTTTCCTTCAATCGGAAGTTCTTCAATACGATTGGTCAATATGTTCCCATGTGCTTGCTAGTGGCTTTGGGCTATGTGACCAAGGAACAGGACTTTTTGGCCGTGATCCTGCTGACATTTACAGTGGGCATCAATACGGCCTGCCATCTGGGCTTTCAAGTCAACCACATCGATCTGTCGCCCAACTTTGCTGGCACTCTGATGGGCATCAGCAATGCTTTGGCCAGCATAATGAGTCTCAGTGCCCCACTCTTAGTGGGTGTTCTCGTTACCGATAAGGTGGGTCTTACTGACTGAGCTAGAGATTTCTTTACCTACTTCTTTCATCCCTGCAGCACGACGCGGGACAGTGGCGCTTTGTCTTCTTTGTGGCCGCTGGCTTTTATCTGCTGGGCAATGGACTTTTCATTCTTTTCGGACGTGCTGAAGTGCAGCCCTGGAATGACCCGCCCGCTAAATTTGAACATAGCTCCATACCGCAGATGGAATCACAGAAATCTGATCACAGTGATAAATGATAACATTTTCGGAATAGCGAAATAGGCCCAAGTTGACTCTAGATCGTAACCGTACTTAGTCTTAATCTTCATTAAATCTATTTATAGAACCCCAGCTGAGTTTGTAATCTACTTCACATAATTCATATTCTCTACTGTATTTAGTTCAAGTCTATGTTATATATGCCTATCTTAATTGCTTAAGATATTATAAATAAAAACAAGTAAACACAGTGCAGACTGCGTAAGATTTTTTCACGCTTCTAAACAGTTTAAAAAATATACCAAAAATCAATATTTTAGCATTTTAAATAGTAAAATATGGGAATTGTAGATATGAAACTGTAAAAGGTTTAGTTTTCTCCGAAGCGATGTTCCGCTGCCCAATTAATGCTATCAAATGTCGTTATCTTTGATCTATCAGATTTGAAGAACTTCACTCTCAAACTATGTTCTTTTCTTTATGATAAACGAAATTGTTTTGGTCTCAAAAGTTTTTGCCCGATCATCGCATTACCATGATAGTTTTGTGGATATATTTGTACCCTCGCATCTTATCTAATCAAATTATAAATAAGACTATTTACATAAGATTCATAAATACAGAAGCTGTCAAGCAATTGTTGCAGCGCCGGAAAAAGTCGTAATATCTTCATCTGTCTTCCAGTTAGTAAAAAGATCTTGTGTTGTGCGGTAATGCACCGCTCAGAAGACAGTTTATTAAAGGAGTCTACAGAAGGGGAATATAATTATCAGAAAGATGGTGAAGAATCGACGCTTTGAAAATAAATGTAGGTAAAGGACCTTGCCAGGGTAAGGTCTATGCTAAAAGAAGCTCGCAATGTGTAGAAAATTTCATATAAAAATTCATTTCTTCATTAATTATTTCACATTTTAATATATTTAAAAAATATATATATTAAAATTTGTTAATGAAAGAAAAGCCAATTGGAAAAGCAAATCATTTTAAGTAAAATTTTATATTTCTTAACCTTAACATAAATGAAGAAGCTTTTTCAATGTAAAGCCATGAAAAGCACCGTTAGATAAGTTTTGGCCTTGACAGTTCGTAAATCAGACTTAGCTCTGGCAGAGCTGCTATAAAATTGTTTATCTTCTGCTCTTGCAGCTAGTGAATATGGTATACGGCACTTGCAAATCCTTTTGCTCTTCAGCGCTTTGACCGTGGGCTTTGCGATGCGAGTTAATCTATCCGTGGCTATTGTGGCCATGGCCGAATTTCCCGTAAGTGAAAATGGAAACCGTGGAAAAAGGTAGCCGAACTTACCTGCATCTCTTTCTAATATAGGAATACAATTGGTCGGAGAGAATCAAATCTCTGGTGCTGAGCAGCTTCTTTTGGGGCTATGTGACTACACAGGTGCCAGCCGGTCCGCTGGCGCGTCGATTTGGCGGCAAAGTGACAATTCTGACGGGCTTATCCGTGTGCTCCGTGCTGACCGTTCTGACGCCCCTCTGTGTTCGGCTAGGCGGCTGGCAGCTGCTGTGCGCTGTGCGTCTGCTCGAGGGCGTCTTTCAAGGCTTGCTCTTTCCCTCCTGCCATACGGTCATCTCAGCCTGGGTGCCACCCAATGAGCGCGCGACCATGGGCAACTTTACCTATGTCGGCTATCAATTTGGCACGATTGTCATGCTGGCTACCAGTGGTTTGCTGGCTTCCATGGGCGGCTGGCAGAGCATCTTCTATGCATCGGGCGCAGCTGGCTGCATTTGGTCTGTGGCTTATTACTTTTGGGGTGCCAGCACGCCGGCCCAATCCAAGAGCATATCTCCAGAGGAGCGAGAGCTTATCGAGCTGGGACAAGCGAGCGAGCGTAGTGAGAACGCGGAGCTGCCAAGTCATCAACAGATTACGCCTTGGCTGAGCTTCTTCAGGACTCCAGCTGTGCTGGCATTGATCGCGGTGCAATCGTCGTTTGCATTCGGCTTCTGGACGTTGCTAACACAGATACCCAGCTACATGAAGAATGTCTTGGGCAAGGACATCAAGGCCAATGCCCTGCTCTCTGCGCTGCCCTACACTGCCATGTTTGTGCTCAGCTTCGTGTTCGCGTGGCTTTCCAAGCGATTGCAGCGAACGGATTGCGTTTCGCTCTCGTTCAATCGAAAGTTGTTTAACTCCATTGGCATGTTGAGTCCCATGTGCCTGCTCATTGCCTTGGGCTATGTGCCGCCCAGTATGGACACGTTGGCTGTTATCCTGCTCACCTTAACTGTGGCCATCGGATCGGCCACCAATGTGGGCTTCCTCATCAATCACATCGATTTGTCGCCCAACTTTGCGGGCATTATAATGGGCATCTGCAATGGCTTCGCCAATTGCATGAGTCTGGCTGCTCCGCTTGTTGTGGGCGGCATCGTTACCGATAAGGTGGGCTACCATTCTATAAACCCTTGGCTTAAAGATTTTTCATAAGCTTTTTCAATCTTTTGTTTCAGAACAATGTCCAACAGTGGCGCCAGGTATTCTTCTTGGCCGCCGGGATCTACTTTGTGGGCAATGGACTCTTTGTGATCTTTGGTCGCACGAGTGTTCAGCCCTGGAACGAGCCGCCAGTCAAGCAGAGAAGCAACTCAACAGCAGAGCTGGAAGCACAAAATGAAAAGTAATGAAAAGCTGGCGTTTTCTTGTATCAATTAGAGTTTAGTTGTATTGGTGTTATACACTATTTGAGCTAATTGCTGATTGTAAAAAAAAAAAATAAAATTAAAAATAATAATGAAGATATTTTATGCACCCAAAGAAGGATCTGCAGAGGAACTATTGGTGAAGTGAAACTATAGACTCTAATGGAGCAAATTTACAAAGATAAAAAGATATATTTCTATATATAGTGTTACCTAGATACAGACACAGATGGCAACAGAGAACATAGCACATAAAAGATCCCTTTACTATTGAGCACAGGTTCATGTACATAGCAGCCCCCGAGAGATCACGTTTTTGAGTCAGAAAGCAGCAAATACAGACCACAAAACTTGTCAAAGGAGCATAAACCATTTTCACCTACGTTACATAATTACTATTATTATTGATATTTATATTTGTGTTATTATTATTGATATTCATATTTGAGTTATTATTATTATTATTCCCAAATTTCTTGATGCCACTACTTCTTTACGACTCATACTTTACTCATACTTTAGCTATGATTCCAATGCCACCTATCGGAAAACTTAGGTACTACTTCTGAACACATAGTGTAGCCCTCTTTTGGGCGTGTTCATACTATAATCAATGCAAGCGAAAAGAAGAAAATTATTATTGCGCTTACTTGGGGGCAGACTACATTAACAATAAATATAGTTGGATAGGGCAAACGTGGGGCATTTATGAATGCGACTAAAAATTATAATTATCATATGAAAGGTAAATAATTAAAAGAAATAAAAAATTAAATGAATTTTATGCTGATTGTTGCCCTAATAATTATTGACTAATTAATTTTAATATACTTTTTATGTTCTTATAAATGTATATATTTATAAATGCATATTATTTATTTATAATACATTTCTTAAATTTATTTCATATATTTTTAACAAAATTTTAATACATATATACATATGAGTAATATATATAACATATATAAGAGTATATACTTCGATAAATATGCTCCAAAAGTTTTAAATGAAATGTATAATAAAATAATTATGGTTTTTTATAGCTATGTTGCGCAATCGGTTTTTTAGTAATTTAATTATACAATTATACGCGATTTCCCATTAAATTTCTAGCTTGTCAATTTAAGCTGGACAAAAACGACTTGAATTTGCATACTCTGACATTTTTGTTATGTCTTTTTATTTGGGGACTTGGGGCAATTAAGCTCCACTAGACAGGCCTTTGATAGCAAATGTTTGTGCACACTTTATGGCTATGAAATGGGCCCGCATGGCAAATGTGGAAGTTGCGGTCGTGATCGTGTGACGCGAACCTGTTGATAAGCGGCTGAATTTGAATAAACGCACGCGATATGGACCGCACACACAGAAACACACATACACACTCATACACAACTGTATTTGTGAGCACACAAACACGCTGGAATATTTTAGATTATGAAATAGTTCCATGAGGCGGAACGACTTCTAAATATATACAGACGTGTGTATGTTTAATAAAACTGTAAATTTCGAGTTAAGAAAAAAATCCCAGCGAGCTTATAAAATATGATTGTGTAGGTATATGTGTATATATGTGTACATACCAATATTAAAAAAGGCTGTAAGCAGAAGGATTCTCAGAAATTTTGAAATTGATTAACCACAACTGGTTTAGGCTTGTCTCCAGTTGCAGACACGTGTTGAGAAGATGAAATGGGAACGGGGCGTCGTGGAAGGCAACGTTGGCGTGTGCTGCACGCGCTGCGCAGCCAAAAAACAAAAATCCCAAAATTCGCAGATAATGAAAGCCATTAAATACGAATCTTAACGCAGTTATTTATACGACTTCCAGTCAACAAGCCAAACGCAATACAACAGATGCTATCAACTTCACCGTGCAAATAATATAAGCCACTTGTCATATCAGTTGACTCTGCGTCCGAGCGCCATCGTTCCAATACAGCTGGAATCGAATTGAGTTCTTGAGTTCTTGTAGTTTTGCTGACGGTAGCGGTTACAGCGGGGCAAAGGGCCCAACAATGGGCTAAAAATTGCACGTTATCTGCATCAGAAGTACTTTAATGTCTCACAACGCGGCATGAATCAAGGTTTATGGGCGCCAGCGTCAGTGGTGAAATCGTAATCGAACAGGGGCGCCCCTGTATATATATCTCTCTCTCTCTCTCTCTCTACCTCTCACACTCTCTCATTCTCTTTTGTGTTCATTTTCTGCGTGTGTTTCAGTTCCAGCTTGCATATTTACGTCATTCCAAAGGCGTTGTACTCCATTCCAAAATCGAATTTCTGCAAATCATTTTGCAAGGCGAACGCAAAGAGCACTAAAAATAAAACAACAATAAAACAACAGCAATATACAAAGCTCTCGTGTGCCTATAGTGCAGCAATGGGTAAAGAGACGCAACGGAGTAACGGGAGTCAGTGTGAACGTCAACGTCGGCTGAGAGCCGATTGGCATTGTACACTTGCTCATCACGTGAACGTGGCAGTCGTCGGCTGTGTGTCGAGCCGAACGTGTGAGAAACGTGATCAAAGATCACGCTGAGCGCGAGAGAGAAAGAGAGCAAACATGCGCACATACACGTTTGAAAAATGAGCGCGCGAGAGTGGGTGCGCCACGTACATGCATGCTTGTATGCGTGTGGGTGTGTACATATGGTGTGTACATGTATGCAAATATAACAAATAAATGTGTGTATGCATACAAATGGCAACAAATTAACACAGCGCGGCGCTAAAGCTGTTGCTGTTTGTGTTACCGGCAAAGCATTGGCACTATTCACTTTGACGCGTTCTCTCTCTCTCCGTCTTCTGCTCTCACTAGCTCTTTAGCATTTTCCTGTGCCTTTGTCTCTCTTTCTCTTTCTGTCCATCTCTCTCCCTGGCTTTGTCGTTAAGGTTATCGCAAATTGTTTTGCAAAATTCAATGTTGATTTTCATGCTACGCGATGTTTTTAACAATTTAATATTAAATATATAAAATTTGTTTTTTCTCATTTTTGTTGATAGACATTTCACAATAAAAGGTACAAATCAACTGGAGCGTTATAAAAACAACAACAGTTGCTGATTTTTTTTAATCATCATCTTTGCACTGTCACGCTGTTTGCCCATTTTTTTTTTTGCCATGAATTAAGTTGCCTTGTGACAAAGTTAATAAATTTTGTTTGTTTTCTACTCAGCAAATAGAACAAACGAATATGCAAATAAAAGCTGTTCAACTGCTGTTTTATTGTGCTGCTTGCCGTGTCGCTCTATCTCTGTGCTGGTGCCGTGCTGCATGATGTCACAGTGATAAATCAGTTTCACTGGCTGTCGCGGTGGCTCCACCTCCGCACGGGTCCACACGGCGCATACGCAATGATAAGATTTACACATTCTCCGAAATAGCTCTTAGATAAGAATGCAGCTATACATCTAATTATGGAATTTACCGAATGACTAACTATACGACCCACTAGCCACACTTAATGCCACTGCACACGCTCCATTCGATAAGTATACGCACCGTACCAAAGTTGGCGGAATCTCCTTAGACAAAAATCACGAGCAATTATTTTATTTGTTCTTCAGCTTATTTGCGTTTAGCACTTTGGCTGGTCAATTCAGCTGGTGGTTTTTATTGTTTACTGTTAGTTGAGAATGTTTTAAAATATATATTTTTGAAAAGACAAAATAACAGAAATTCGTAGACAAATGAAGGCGACTACATGTTAGACGAATGCCAAGATACCCTATACAATCTTACTTATCATAATATACTACTTATAGACTTTCACTTTTAGACCTCTGTACATCTATACACTATTCCAATATTTTATATATCAGTTTAATAAAAATACATTAATCTTAATTTCTTTCGTATCCATACTTTTACTACGCCTATTTTTAAAATTTATCTCTTATCTGACTCAATTAACTTATCTTTTATTATCGTCATCATAAATATGAAATATTTATCATTTATGAGACGATAATGTTTTTTGAAAAAATCTACAAATCTATGATAAATTTAATAGACGCCTGCTCTGAAATTTGGGGAAAACGTAGTATAGAAATGAGATATGATTGAAAACCAATCAGTTTAGATATATATTGACTTTTCCCTCAATTCTATGACAAAAGTATCATTTGCATGCCAGAAATGATTAAAGATGTGGCTGGCAGCTCAGAAAAGGTTAAGATTTGTTTGACAGATATGATTGAAAGTTTGTTAGAAATCTAGTATAGAGTTGGGATATTCAAAAAATACTAAATTATAGACATGATTGAAGTCTGGAATATGCAACTTTTTAGAATAGTTATGTGAGACAATTGGCTTAGAGTCGAGTAAGGGAAAATAGTTTTAATTAATATTAAAGTTTTTTTTGCGGCAATTGAAACAAATTGAGCAAGGTATATGGATAGTATAGATGTATATAGATATATATATATATATATATGTATATATATATATATATATATATTACAGAAGAACTAAGCACGCGATAGTATCTGTTCACTTGCCTGTCTATAGAGAATATATATATATATATATATGTCTTTCTAGCCAATTTAGCTTGTCAAATGAAATGAGGAAAACTGCTATGCCGCTCACTGTTAGAGTATGGTTGAATGTGAACATTCAAGTGGCTGCACGAGCTATGAAAATGAAAAGTTCTATTTTAAATAAACTACGTGCCGCGTGAACTGTCAAGCAATGACGCCCACGCAACAACCCATGGCTGTTGTCGACTGTGTCCCACAGAGGACGCCGCCGCCGCCGCCAACAACAACAACAGCAACAACAACAATTCAAAGAGCGAAAGAGAGAGTGAGAGAGAATTGCAATTAAAATGAAAATTCATTTTCAATTGCAATTGCAATTGCGGAAAAATAAAAACGCGTCTTTGACAGTTTGCCAGCGAAATTTCATTGAACGAGCGCAAAACAGTAGCGAAACCCAAGTCAAATAAAGTCTAATTGGGGGTGTTGATGGGGGCCAGGTTAGCACCTGGTGCTCAAATAGATGAGTAACTATGCTCAAAAGTTTCCACTCGCACGCTAATTCATGTCAATTGAGCCATATCAATTGATTGCATACAATTCAATTAGACACGAAGACAGCCAGATGACCTGGGCAAACATCTATCTATATATATGGATATATCCGTTTGTCCAGCTAGATTGGCAAATATATGCAATTGAAATTGACACAAAATATTGCCGGCAAATATTTGCGAGGTCGTGTTAACCAGAGTCAACTAAAGAGCTAGACGACACAGTTCCCACTGACTTTTGGGGGCTGGGCCGCGCTGGATTGATCTAGTCTAGTGGAAAATAACTCAGCTCTATTTGAACTTGGCATGTTAATTCAATGTCAATGCTGTCTGCGACAGAATTCCATTCTATAGACAATTTGTACCAAACTCTTATTTGACTAAACATTTATAGCTTAGTCACACACGGCGTATGAGTAATTTATGCTAAGCTAAGAATTGTTGATGTGCTGGAATGTGACTGACTAGGAGATACCTTGAATTGTACATGAAGTAACTACTACGAATATAGTAGACGCACACAGGCATTATTGGATATATGGATAGACAATTAGACGGATAGATAGGCAGAACAACAAGCGAAGAGTAGAGTAATAGACATACAAGCGGATAAGCGGATAAAATTATACATCGATAGAAAGATAGACAGACGGATAGAAAAACAGCCGCATTGACGGATAAGTGGATGGGTTGACAGGCGGATTGACAGTGCAGGACGTATGAAAAGTTAGACAGAGAGATGGATAGAAGCAGAGAAAACAGTCTGGTAGATGGATAGTGGATAGAAGGTTAGGCCAATTGGCAGAGAAGTAGACAGATGATAACAGTAGAGAAAAACAGTCAGATAGAAGGATGAAGGCCAAGCCAACGGACAGACAAGTGGATAGGCAGGTAAGTGGATAATTAAGCAAGTAGATAGGTAGGTGGCGAATAGGCAGACAGGCGGATAGACAGAAGAAAAGTTAAATGGACAGACAGCAATGCAGATATGGCCAGATAACTTGCTTGATACATATACACTTTATGTATTCAGTACGGACTTCAGCAACCCCTAACATACTCTTGCCCACACACATTATACCCGTCTTACCCAACGGATTTGGGGTATAGAAAAGTCTCTTGGCTCGTTTTATTAACGCAGTTCAATTGGTTGCGCATGCCAAACGCTGCAACTGTAAGAAAAAATTCCACTAGCTGTAGCCAACGACGCATTTATGTAAGAGGAGATACTGCAGCTGTGTATCTAGAGGTATCTCTATAGGTATCTGTATATATATATCTTTATATCTTTGTATGCTTAAATGTAAATTGTAACTGTGGCGTGCAAAAATTTCCATATCGATATCAAATCACAGCGCAAACAAGCTGCATTTTATATGTCATTGAGTGGACTGTGGGAGGTGAGGCTTCGTGGCATCCACGTCCGTTTCACCTGACGTCAAGTGCGCTGTTTGCCATTTGTCATTTTGATAAGCGTTTGCACAGATTTTCCGTTTGTTTTTGGTGCAGCTTTTTAGTACGTGGGCGTGACACATTGGCGATAAGATCGATAGCGATTAGATTGATTGATCAGACCAGGCCAACTCAATCAGTCAGTCAGTCGGACCGTTGGTCAGACTCAAGCAGCTTACTCAATTAAAAGTCAGCTAGCTTGATGTATAGCTTAGCTAAATATAGTTACAAATGCTAGCTCTTAGCTGACAGTTAATTCGTTTTATGCCCCAAATCTGATAACAGCTTTTAGGCTCTCAGAAATCCCTGCAAATTTACTCGAAAAATTGCCTTTTAAAGTCACATTAACTGATAAAGCGATGCGAACGTGCCGGAGAAACGTGTGGAACATGTTTGTTACTTAAAAAAACCGCTGATAACACTTAAATAATATTTTATATATATATATATAGCGATTAATATGAATAGAAATTGAGCTGTCTTTGATGGCATCACAATGAATTTAGCAAACTGCGATAACATTTTGCCAAATCAAAGTCTCAACTGATAAGCGGGAATTAATTTCATTTAAAATATTTCACCGTAATACAAGGCATATTTGTACACATATAATTGATATAAACTATACGTAGGGCCTACTATTGGTGTCAATTTTGAGTTGATAGTGCATTGATCAGAGTGCTGGCTGCCATTAGTTTAATTAATGAATTGTGTAACAGTTGGGAACAAGCAATTTTGATTGCGATAATAATATATGTATATGTATACGAAAGACGACAGCTGCTGTCAAAGCTACAAGTAGTTTGTTTTTCTTAACTAGACTGACAGAGATGGAACGGGAGAGAGACTAACTTCCTTGCTGAGAGTGAATGCGTAGTTTATCAGTGGCTTGACCTCGAGAGCGTGGCTTCAGCTTATCAACAGACAAAGAAATGGATGAAACGAACGGAACACTAACGGAGTCCTTAAAACAATGCTCTTTCGCTCTGAAATAAAAGAGTGTAAGAGTGCAAGAAGAGAGAGAGAGAGAGCGTGGGTATGTGACTAATTTGGTATTTACAATTCATGCGAAGTACGAAAAGCCATTACACAGGCTATGCAAGAGAAAGAGCGAGAAAGGAAGCGGCGAGGCGAATGCCAGAAAAGGAGAGCGCGCGGGCGAGACTGTGTAAGTGACTTGTGACTGATAACTCGTTGTTGTTTACATATTGGCCGGTAAATTTGAGAGAGGAGAGCAACCAACACACACAAGCACTGACTGCGTCGTGTGCATGTATACGTGTGCTTGCATGCCAGCGTGTTCGGATTTCACTGATAGCAAGAGCAGCGCAAGCAAATGGTAATGGAATTCACGCGATACACATGTGTGTGCCAAGACAACAACAACAACGGCGACAGCAACAACAACGAACAGTAACAAAGTGACAGCAACTCGCCTCTCGGACGCGGCGAACTCTCTCGAGTGCGGCGAGCGCGGCGATCATCATATTTATAAAAGAATCGCCGCGGCAAGTATTTCAAGCAGTCGCAATCGCACGCTAGAACAAACTAAAAGCCGTGTTAAATACAATCGAACGGGTCGAAATAAAAAATAAAGAAAATATATTTAACAAAAAAAGTATCTTTAGCTATTGCTGTATTTCTCTCTCACTAACTGTAAACTGTAGCAGCAGCAGCATCAGCAGCTGTTTGTATCTGTGCAGTAGACTGCGAGCTAGCTGGCTAGCAAAACGTGTTCGTAACCGTGAAATAAGCGTGAAAACGAAAACGAATTCGTTTCATTTACATATCAAAGACATGTGCTTCAACTAGCCTAAATGTCGTCAAAGCACGTTGTTTGATACGTCAAAAAACGTCAATATAAAATTTCCACTGACTGCAGCTACTGCAGAGCGAAAGAGAGAAAGAGAGAGAGAGAGAGAGAGAGAGAGCGAGAAGGAGACGGAGTTACAGATTAAGAGATCTACATATATTGTTGTTGTAAACCCGCGCCGCACACATGACAACCACTTTGAACATGGTGAAAACTGGGAAATACGCCAATGGTATGTAACCGAAAAATAAATACAAATTATAGTAATACTAAAAACTGGAGCAATCATATATATAATAGGCATTAGCGCTTATCGGGCACGTGTCGCGTGCATTTATGTAAGACAAAGTCTCGCGGGCCGAGTGCAATTGTCAATTGTCTGAAACTTGTTGCCGGAAGCAGCTGCCAAACCCCAAAGACCTCAAGCACAAAACCCCAAAGTCCCCACCTCTCTACAACCCCTACCCTTAACACTATATATATATAGCTATTCTGTTGTCGCTGCCTTATAAAGCAAATGAATTGTCAACTGATTGCAATTGAAGTTCGATTTTTTTTAAATATGTCTAAAATTGTAACTATTTCTACGTGATTTTCACTTCACTTTATATATATAATGTATAAAAAATGCTATCTAGACGACCTCCGCTGTGCATGCGCCAAACTCTAGACGCAACTTCTGCAGCAGATCAAATCAAGAGAGAGAAAAAAAAACAAATAACTGTGGAATTTTATATATCTTCTTGGCTGACAAAAATGAATTTTTAGCACGCTTAACGCAAATGATAAAAATAAACAAAACGAAAAGAGGGAGCCAAGGGGGTGCCAAGGGGTCCGCAGGGGGGCACAGCTAGAGGCAGCCAAATCAGCTATATTTTTATTTTATATTATTTAAAATTATCTCTCATTCTTGCTGATGTAACTCATGGCTTACTTAACATTATTTACAACTATTCCGAGTCATATAAAAAGAAATATAAATAATACTCATTATTGTTAGAGCATTTTTTCATGTCATGCACACAGAGCCTGTCTGACTTCGATGAGTCCGCAGCAATTATCTAATCTGATAGACTGACATACTATATAGCATATATATGTATGTTTACGAATATATATATATATATATAGAATATACTAAATAAATTAGCTATATGTGTGTGCGTGTGTGTGTTTGAGATTTCTTGTTGTTATTGCTCCAATTTATCGTGCCTCGTTATATGGACGTACAGTTACTTTCAGACCTTATCGGTTATCAGCACAATTGCACTGGACGTGCTTGGGTAGGGTATCAAAATGTTAGAGTGTCCTTCGACCGATTATCAGCTACGACCATGAGCCACAGACACACATATAAATATATATATATAAATATAAGCATTTTACAGGGTATCTCAATTGGCGAACACTCATCGAAAATCATATTGCAGACATTTTTGTGGGTTGGGATTTCATTAGGTTCTGATATGACTTATATAGTCTTTTTACACGGTATTTATGATACATACAGTATTTTTACAGGGTATCAATATCACATTTCATACACTTCTGTTGGCTAGGGTATCAAAATGTTGATGTTTATTTATACTTGTGTATATTTATAGCATATATATTATTTGTATAGGGTATTTATGGCATATGTAGTCTTTTTACAGGGTATTTATGTCACTCAAAGTCTTTTTATGTATTACAGGGTATCAAAATGTGAAACTTTGTGTATCCAAAGCCCACTATATACGTTTACATACCCATATGCCATTCGAATCATTTTACACGGTATCAAGAATCGGCAATCAATCATTTCAAATCAACTTTCATAAATGTTTATTGATGATTTTTATGCTCTTTGGCAACTTTTTGTCGATTTTCCATTTATGGAACAAACATTTAATTGCATGTAGTTCCTTTTTCTTTTTTTTTTTGTTTTTCTTTCGATTAAACTAAAGCGTATAAATTAACATTTAGAGTGGGACAGAAGAAGACAAATGAAAAAAACTAAAAAAAATAACAATTAAATTGCAAGCGAGTGCAACTGACTGCATAATACTCGTTCATGTTGGGGAAAGAGCTGAATTTATTTAAAACTCGATATAATACTAGGGAATCGAAAGGAAAACTTGAGCTATGTATAAACTATATAGCTATAACTATAAAACTGTGAACGATACAGCATTTTAATACAACTTTGCACTACCTCAATGCATGTAAATATATATTTGTATCTAGAATGATCAAATATGCTACTTATTCTGAGCATGATTGCTCATATCTAGAGAATTAATCTAGAGAATAGCTCAAGAGTAAGTGACTTCTTAAAGCTTGTGCTTCTTATATGCCTTGTCCCTATAATATTTTCTGGTGATAGATGATTTTCATATCTGATATCTCTAGTCAATATATCTCTCAAAATATCATAGACTAATTAACGATTTGTCACGTTAAATTTCAATAGAACCCATATACTCTCTTGCTGCACCCGAGCGAGTATAAAAGCGCTACTCATAAATTGTTGCTAAACTTGAAGAAGAAGCACATAAATCGAGGCGCAAAAACGTGCCAGATAAAAATAAAATATAAAGCAAAGAGTTTCAACATTTTAAAGTGAATCAGCTCAATAAACAGAGAGACAACAGAAGAGAGAGAGAGAGAGGGGAGAGAGAGAGAGAGCTCTGTCTGTAAATTAGCAAGACTCAAAGTTCAGGCAACCTCAAAAATGCTTAATTATTGAGCGAATTTAATTAATTAATAATTAAATAATAGAAAATTACTAATATTACAGTCACCTTGAGCCAATGCGGTTCAATAGACGCGCCTTTTGAGGCCGCGCCGCAAGGTTGCTAAATTGCTTGAGCAACAGCTGCCACAAGAAGAGGCAACACTAGCTTTAATCTAAGTCCACTTAGGGCCAGTTTTGCGCTTCTAAAAATAAAGCCCAAATCGAGTTTGAAGTCAAAGTCCAAGTCGAGCTGTGTCCGTCCGCCTAGCTGCATATGGCCGCAAGAGAGATTTGTCCATTCGTCCGTCCGACCGTTGTTCCATCCGTCTGCTCATGGAGAGTTCGCACTGCGCTTGTCACGTGCGAGTTAGCAAAACGTTTTTACAGGTAGCTCAAGTGGTCGGGCGAGCAGGTAAGGTGGCTGGCTGCTGCTCGTGGTATGTGTCGCGTGTAGCTGGTTTTGCTGCTGGGTACAGCACCGTCTGCTGCTGCTGCTGCTGCACTTCATTGAGGCGCGCAGATCTCGCGAGTAATTCACATTCACATTCACGAGTGGGCGTTGCGCATGTGTATGTGTGTGCCTGGGTGTGTTGTGTGTGTGTTTTTGACACACTGTGTTTTATAAATAAACGCGCCCCACATACAAAGCGAGAGACAGAGCGAGCGAGAGAAAGAGAGAGAGAGAGAGAGTTGAGTGACAGAGCGAGAGAGGTAACGCGCCCATTGGCTTTTGGCATTGATAAAAGAGCGAATGCTGCAACTCACGTTTTATGCCTCACCAAACTGAGCTACACATATGCTACGATATAATGCTCTATGAGTCGGAATCTGGACAAATCTCTCAATCCACACAGATTGCTTTGGTTTATGGTTTGACTTTTCATTCTTCTCTGCATCCATAAGTTGGTTTTATATATAAACTATATTCTTTTATATTTATTTTTTTATTATTTATACAGTTTTATTTCTAGTGCGCCTTAAAACCTCAAACAGATTTAGTATGCGGTTCAGTAAATGGTTCGCGTTTTGTTCCACTAAGAAATAGTTTTTTTCCAACTCAAATCACAATTCCCTCTGATTTGCTCATTTCGTTTCCCAGCATCTCATAAGCTCACATCTTAGCTCCAAGTCAAGTTCCGATTTTAGAACCTTCTTTCTTTGCTCCGGGAGCATTTGGCATTAAAACTGTCCGTTTTAGGTTCGGTTCGATCAGCTCATTTTTAGCCTTTCTACAATACGAAACTTTGATAATTCTCGTATTTTGTTTACAGCTGAAATAATCTAATTTCAATTGGAATTATAGCAGTAAAGTAAATATGAAATATTTGTTGTGCTCCGGTTGCAGTTGATTACAAATGATCTATGAGCTGTGTAGCTTCTTGTGTTCTAGAAAATTTGATGGGTTGACATAAGATAATATAAGAGAAGGAGGTTAGAATGGCAGAGCAGTTCAGGTATGCGAGATTTCCAGAATCAGAATTCAAGAAATTGAGTTTCTGATAAGTTTTATGTGATTTATGTGAATACATTCGATTTAGGTCAAGTTAACAGCTTCAGTTCTGCTCAAGCTGTAAAGCTTTCATTGATTTCAAATGTTATAAACTCTTTTTGCCTTTGCTACTTGCAGATAAAATCATTGGCGTGCGGCATGTGCAGTGCATCCTTTGCTTCTTCTGCCTCTCGCTGGCATACGCGTGGCGCGTGAATCTGAGCGTTGCGCTGGTGGCCATGACTGGACCGACAAACCAGACGGAGGCCAATGCAACGCTCGACAGCTCCGAGGAGTCCGTGGACTTTGATGTAAGTGCCACAAAATGTTGCAAAGCAAAGCAAGGCTCTAACTCCCTGCCACTCCCACTCCCACTCTCTTACGCCCTTTGCAGTTCTTCCCCTTTACGGAAACGGAGAAGTCCTACATGCTGAGCAGCTTCTTTTGGGGCTACATAGTCACCCAGGTGCCCGGTGGTTACATCGCTCAGCGCTATGGCGCCAAGATGTTGCTGATGGTGGGTTTGGTGGCCTGTGCCATATTGACGCTCTTGACACCGCTGGCGCTCAAGCTGGGCGGCTGGCAGGCGTTGTGTGTGGTGCGCGTGCTGGAGGGTCTGACGCAGGGTGCAGTGCATCCGGCTACCCATTCGCTGCTATCCAAATGGGCGCCAGCCAACGAGCGCGGCATGCTAGCCACAATTTGCTACTCGGGCGCACAATTTGGCACCATCATGATGTTGGCCACGAGTGGATTTATCGCCGATTCCTTTGCTGGCTGGCCCGGCATCTTCTATTTCGGCGGCATCTGCGGCTTCATCTGGGTGCTCCTTTGGTGGATCTTCGCGGCCAGCACACCGGAGGAACACAAGCGCATCACACGCGAAGAGCTGAAGTTTATCGAGGAGACACGTTCGGTGGGCAAAATGCAGGATGCCCGCAAAATGGCGCCCACGCCATGGGGCAGCATCTTCACCTCAATGCCGTTTCTGTCGCTGCTGGTGGTGCACTGCACGCACATGTGGGGCTTCTGGACGCTGCTCACCCAGATACCCAGCTACATGAAGAACATTTATAACATTGACATCAAGTCCAGTTCGCTGCTCTCCTCGCTGCCCTACACCGTGATGATGGTGCTCAGCTTCTTCTTTGTCTGGCTGTCGAAGGTGCTGCAGAACAACAAGTCCATATCGACCTCCTTCAATCGGAAGTTTTTCAACTCGGTCGGCCACTGGATACCCATGCTGTCGCTGATCGGCCTGGGCTATGTGCCGCAAGAGAACTCCGTTCTGGCTGTGGTGCTGCTAACGCTGACGGTGGGCATTAGCGCTGCGACCTATCTGGGCTTCCAGGTCAATCACATTGACCTGTCGCCCAACTATGCGGGCACCCTGATGGGCATCACAAATGCGGCGGCCAATGTCATGAGTGGCCTGGCCCCACTCGCTGTGGGCCAAATCGTACAGCATCCGGTAAGTCGGCAGAGCTTGTAAAACGAATCAAACTTGGCTAACTTTCATTCATTTCAGAAAAATGTGAGCGAATGGCGTACGGTTTTCTTTGTGGCTGCCATCTTCTATTTCATTGGCAATCTGCTCTTTGTTGTCTTCGGACGCACGGACATCCAGAAGTGGGATACACCAGAGATGATCGACGAGGAGAGCATCGAGGCGGGCCAACCTCTGGCGGGCGATAAGGCTGTACAGCCAATCCCAATAGCCAATGGCAAACCCTAAGCTCTGGACTTAAGACTAAATCATGCCTAACTAAGTAAAGTTATGTGAAATAATTTGATAGCTGCATGATTTGTTTATAGTTGTTGTGTTTTTTCATAAACTAAGCGCCTAAATTAAGACAATAGCAATTAGTTAGTTGTTAACGAAGAAACACCTTAAAATTGCCATAACGACGATCGCGTGCTTCCAATAGCGATATTAATAATAATAACATATGATAATTGTTTAGCTTGTAGGCAGCATAAATTATTATTTCCAGTATTTCTTCCATAATGTACATAAAAAAACAAAACAGAAAAAAATAAATCCCAGCTAATTGACAATGTAAATAGCAAAGATTGCTATCTTTAAGTAAATATAAGCGCTGCTCTATTAATTGTTATGTTTTAAAGTGAAACTATATATAATATATATAAATAATATACACCTTAACTAACTTAGGGCCTTAGTCAATTAGTTAAATTAGTAATATACAAACAACCAACTTGTGATGTACGAAAAATTAAATCAACTAAAAAAGGCAGAAAAGAAGACATACATACAAAAAAAAAAAAAAAACAAAAAACAAAAACAAAGAAATATAAGGTCAAATAATTAAGGCCATAATTGCACAAATTCATGCAAACAAAAACGTTCGTCTTTTTATTTTAAATAAATTTTGAATCTGGCGCCCATCGATAAACGCAAGCAATCGATTGACAAAGGCAAGCGCAACTATTGTTACAGCTGTGTTTGCTGTCCGATAGTTTGTGTTTGCGATTGTTGTGACTATCGCAGAAAGCGCGCTTTAAGGAAAATTTTGAAAGCGTTGCTTCAAAAGAAATGCTCACCTAGGCGATGCCCTGATGTGTATGGAGCGCTTGGGAAGACTCATCTGCGCTGCCTAGGTAAAACTGCTGTCAATTTGTGTAACTGCAGTAGTTTCAGCAACCAAAGGCCATTTTAAATGAGTCGTTTAAGTTCCGTGGTTTTGTTGTAACTGTATTGGCGTCGCTTGCGCCATTTTAAAGCATTTCACCATTTCATTTCACTGCAACATACTGATTGCTGTTGTTTGGGGTTTATTATATTTACTTTTGTAGTGGTTGGCACAACTGTTGCACTGCTGATGTTCACAGTAGTTCAAACTATCGAACAATAAACAGTTCGAAAGGAACAAGTTCTTTGCTTTGTTTATTCGCCAATGACGATGACTGTTGGAATCATAATAGTAATGCTGATTTGATAACATTAATTAACTTGATTAAAAAACATTTCAATTGCCGTCACTTCCGTAACTTTTTTAGCTTTAAAATTCGTTATGCTCAGGCAACACAGTTTAATTATTGAGGCAGCTGAACACAACTATCGCACACAGCTGTATATGTATTTGCTGGACGATAGTTGCATCTATCGCACGGAAACAGCTGGCGCAACAGCTGAACTGTGTTTACTGGCCACAACAACGTAGAAAAAAATAACAAATCGCAACGTAAGCAGCAGCAGTAAGCTGAAAAGTTTGCGTGTTATTTTTTTTTTTTTCAAGAGCATTGCTGGCTTATCAGCTGCGCGAAATGCTTAGACGTTCAGACACAGTCATTGCGAACACAACACAGCAACGGCATTAGAACTAATCAACCAAAATGGTATTAGGTTGTTCAGACTGCTGCAGTCACACAGGCTACGACGCCATTGGAAATACTGGTAAGTGATCCGCTGCAGTTGCGGAATGATGAGTGATTCATGCGAACTTTTATCTTTTTTCGGCAGGTCCCCGTTTTGGAGTGCGTCATCTGCAATGCATTTTAGTATTTTTCGGTTTGGCTGTCGCGTATGCTTTGCGTGTGAATCTCTCTGTGGCCATCGTGGCCATGACAGACAGCAATCATACCAATCCAGCATTTCCAGAGTTCCCCTGGGACGAGAGTATCAAGTCGTACCTGTTGAGCAGCTTCTTTTGGGGATATGTCGTGACTCAAGTGCCGGGCGGCTACCTATCTGCAATAATTGGTGCTAAATATATGCTTTTCTTTGGCGTGCTCATCTGCTCCTGCTTGGCACTGCTGACGCCTTTCTGTGCACTGACTGGAGGCTGGAAGTTGGTCGTTGTACTGCGCGCCGTCCAAGGACTCTGCCAAGGCGTCATCTTTCCATCCACGCACACATTCCTGTCCAAATGGGCACCCGCCGAGGAGCGTGGCCGCCTTGTGGGCTACTGTTATTCGGGCTCACAGTTTGGCACTGTGATCATGCTGTCGGTGAGTGGATACATTGCATCCTCCTCGCTGGGCTGGCCGAGCATATTCTACATCTCCGGCTGCGCCGGCATTTTGTGGTCTTTGATCTGGATCTACTTGTGCGCTAGCACTCCTGCACAGCATTCCACAATAACGCCTAATGAGCGCCGCTACATTGAGACCTCGGGGCAGCTGCGACGCCCATCGGATGCGGGTCGCGAAGAATTCGCGGCACATCAAAAGCTGCGCACGCCTTGGATCCGCATCTTCACATCGCTGCCATTCCTGTCGCTGCTCTTGGCACACTGCGCGAACAACTGGGGCTTCTGGACACTGCTAACCCAGATTCCGACGTTCATGAAGAGTGTGCTGGGCATGGACATCAAGCACAATGGTCCGCTGTCCGCGTTGCCCTACTTTGCCATGATTCTGCTCACCTGCTTCTTCATCTGGTTGTCGGATATGCTAAAGCGCAACGGCAGCTCCATGTCGCTGAGTTTCTCGCGCAAGCTCTTCAATTCGATTGGTCTCTGGCTGCCAATGCTGGCGCTGCTAGGCTTGGGCTTCATCACACAAGGCAGTGCCAATGCCAAGCTGGCTATTGGCCTACTCACGCTGGCAGTGGCCACAAATTCGGCCAGCTACTTGGGCTTCCATGTGAATCACATCGATCTGTCGCCCAATTTCGCTGGCACCTTGATGGGCATCACCAATTGCGCTGCGAATGTGATGAGTATCTTGGCCCCACTGATTGTGGGACTCATCGTTACGGATGAGGTAAGTTGGTCACAAAAGACTTGCAGAATACTGATGATAATTTGTGCTACTTTTACAGACGAATCCAACGCAATGGCGCATTGTCTTCTACTTCACTGCCTTTGTCTACTTCGTTGGCAATTTAGTGTTTATCGTGTTTGGGCGCTTTACTGTGCAGCCATGGAACAATCCTAGCTCACGACAAACGCGTGCTGTGCCTGTCGATGGGCATGAGAACACGGAACGCGCGCCTTTAATTGATTCCTAAGTGGGGATATAGGTTTAAAATTGATTCCTATACTATTCGAATTTACATTCTGGGGTGAGTCTTAGCTAGAAACTGATGTACCTTATCGTAGGGTATTATAAGATGGAATTGATTGCCGCTATTTTATGTTAGCTTATAGAGAACTTTACAACAATTAGTTACGTATGACATATGATATACAAGTTATTTAATAAATACAAACATTATTTTATGTAAACCAAAATATATATATATGTATATATAAATATTTATTATGCTATGTAGCAGCATCATATTTTAACTCTGTTTAAGTTTCTGTCTTTAGTTTATTCATCTCGAATGTTGTTATCGGTTTGTTTGTCATTTAAGTTATTTTTGCTTTACAGTGTTTTTACTTCCTGTTAACTTATCTGTAAGAAAATAATTGTTATACTTCATTCAGGAATTTCTGTTTTGTTGTCACAAATGACTTTATCTTTTAGAAGTCTGCGAAGAAATACCTTGACCAATATCAACTAATGTCAGTTGTCTGTTTTCTATCCTAGAGATTGGGTTTGGCTTCGTGTTAAAAGCGAAACATTAGCTTTGTTGTGTCTGAGCGTTAGCTGTTATAGTATCTGTTTCAATTCCTATGAATTATATATAGCAGAGATTTTTCACATTGTAATTGGAACTTGCTTTGATAATGGGGCTTACTAGGAGCATATATAGCTGAAATGTGATTCGTTTAGACGATTTGGGCTTGGCTTGCGGGCGCTGACTGTTGTTAATTGTTTTTCTGTATAGCTATAAAGTTTATAATAGAAATATGACTGGATATGTGTATAATATATTATCGATTTTGATTCTTTATTTATGTTAGTTCTTCAATCATTTATTGTACAAAACTTAAGCTGCCTAAGTGGTATTATGTTTACGCTAATCAACTAAATATTTTAACTACGATATTTACTAAATTGTTCGAATATAGATAGAATGCGACATATATATGTATGCCTATATATATATATATATATATATATATATATATATATATATATATATCTGTCTAAGTGCGCTTAGTTCATAAAAACATATATTCGTAATTTAAAGCTAATTGCAAGCGGATGTGAGGCTTCAGAGCTTCCGAATGACCGAATTCGTACTGCCCTCAACTAACGCGTATCGCTTGGCCTTATCGTATTTACATGCGAAGCTTTGTGCGCTTCAATTTCGCTCAGTGTAGCTTGTGATTGGCGGGCAAATCTTCGGAGCGTATGCAACGGCCGCGATAACAGATCTCTGTCTCGGAGGTAACTTTGGTAGATGTGGATGTCGCATAGACGACATGCTGCATCAGATCCTTGTGGAAGTTGTCCTCCTTGCCGCCAGATGGCGTTGCCACCGTTGTGATGGCCAACACATCGGCGGGCGCCTCCGTCGCCGCCACCGTGGCGCTCTCGACGGGCTTCGTGCGCCTGATGCTTGTGTAATCCTGACGACGCTTGCCAACAGCTGCCAGCGCTGCAGTGACAGCCTGATCCTCGTTCTCGTCGATGGCAAACAGATCGTGCAGCTGTTGTCGCACCTCGGAGAAGATGCTTGGCTGTGTGTCCAGATCGTCCACATCCGCAGCCGTATCCATGCGACGCGTGGCACTCTCATCGCTCATCGCCAGCGTTGTGGCCATTGTGGTTGTTGCCTCCGGCGTTTTGATGGTGGTCACTTCGTACTCCGCTGGCGTTGTGGGCGCCGCAGCTGTGGTGGTCACCAGCTCAGCCGTGCTGCTGGTGGTTAGTGCCTCGGTAGCCGCTGTCATGGGCGTTGTGGTTGTTATTGCTGCCTTCAGCTCCAGCTCCGCCTTTGGATCTTTGCCCGCATATAGCGAATTATACAGCTGTGGTCCCAGATTCTGAGATTCGGCTGTCTCGAAGTTCTCGCCATTGTCTGCGCCGCCTGCGATGCGCGACTTCTTCCACTTGCCGCGCCTGTTGAGGCGTCCGAAGGTGCTGCTTGTGGGCGTCTCGGTGGCCAGTTCCTCGGACGCCTTGCCCATGACCTCCTCCAACAGCTCCGCAAAGGACTTCTCGGGCCTGCAAGTGAGAGAGCGATGGGTAAAGTCGCTTAAAATTGTCTCTATTACTCTAGCGCTTACTTGAGATTGGGTTCCTTGAGCGGCGGGGTGGTGCGCTGTGCACCACTAGATCCACCAAGATTGGCAGCTACGTTAAATTCGTAGGTTTCCGGTTGATCTGTGGGTCCCGCCGTCACAATCTCTGGCTCATTGTCGAAGTTGTGTGCTTCGCTCTTGCTGCCGTACTTGGGATTGAGCGGCTTAAAGCTGTTGGTGTTGGTGTTGCTGTTGCCCGTCTCCGAGGCGGGCGACCATTGCGACTCTTGACCCTCCAGCTGGAAGGGCTGCTTGTAACGACGACGTGCCGTGTGCGGCGTTGGCTGCTGCAGTTCGATTGTTCGATTAATTATCGATTACAGCTCGCGTCTCATCCATTCACTTACCGCTTTCTGCTCGCTCTGCTCCTGGTTGTAGCGGCTCAGCTTGCGCAGGTTCTGTCGCTGGGTAACGGGCTCCGCTTCCTCTTCGGGCGCAGCTGTCGAAGAGGAGGCAGGATGTGTGGGACGACGCTGACGTTGGCGCACCTTAACAACACGCCGCGGCGGCAGGCGAGAGCGCAGCTGTAGGCCACAAGATGTTAGGATAGATAATTGCAAAACATCATCAAATGCTTACCGATGGACGCTCTTCGGTGGTTGGGGTGGTGCTGGTCACGGAGGCTTCAGTTGTTGTTGTGGTGCGTACTCTCGGGTAATTGCGACGTATGAAGGGCGACCGACGTGTTGTTGTTGTCACGGGTGCCTCAGTGGTTGTTCGTGTTGTTGTGGCTGTTGTTGTGGTCGTTGACGGCGTTGTTGTGGCCAAAGTTGTGTAGATGGGACTGACCTCGTTGCGTACAATGGCTTCTGTGGGATTAAGGTCTTCCTGATTGGGAAAGTAGCCAGGGCCATAGTTATCCTTGGAGAATTCATTATAATGCTGCGCTATTTGCATGGGCTCCAGCAGGCTGGGCACATAGACACCCTGCTCGCCCTGATCTATGCTGTTGCTGGGCGTTACCGTGTACACCTGCTGGGTCTCCGAGGCGGGGCCTTCGGTATTGCCCACATCATAGGAGCTGGGTATGGCTGTGGGGCTGGTGGGACGACGGGAAGGCGCCTTGAATACGGGATAATTCTGCTTGAGCACATCACGCTGATAGTCCAAGTCCTGATCTTCGCTTGGCTTGCCGTTCTTCGAGCCCTTGTAGTGCTTCTTCTTGGTCTTCAGTGTTTGACGCTCCTCTGTGGTGGGCTGATAGCGTATGCGATTGGGATTGCGCAGCAGCGGATTACGCGATGTGGCTGGACGACGTGTTGTGCTGGGCAGCTCCTCGCCAGCATTGTCCGCTGCAGTGCCTCGACTGCCGTAGGGACGTCTGATGCGATGCGTTGGCAGCTTGGCATTGCTCTCCGACTCGGAATAGGACACCGACGAGGTGGTCACCACCTTGGAAATGGCCGGCTTGCGCGTACGCAACAGCGGGCGACGCGTCGGACGTGTCTCTGGCTCGGGTTCGCTTAGTGGCGTTGTGTTCGCTGGCAGCTTATCCTTCTCCTGCAAGTTGTTGACCAAGCCGGGTATATCAGGCGTCAGCGGTGGCAGCTCGGACGGCACATGATACGGATTCGGCTCGTACTCCACGTTGACCTCGTTCTGATTGTAGCTGGGACGATGATTCTGCGGCGACTGAGCCTGCGGATCCACATTGTAGCCCACATCGGAGGTCGTCACTGGCACTGCAGCTGGCGTATAGATGTTAACGCGCTGTTTGGTCCGCTGCGTCGTTGTGGGCTGTGGTGCCTCGTAGTCCAGCGAGGATTGCGTGTACTGTACGGACTGCTCAAAGGGTGGGTTCGTGGTTTGTGGCCGCTGACGGAACGCATCCTGCTGACGGAAGTATTGCTTCATGCGCAGCTCCTCCTCTGCTGTCGTTGATGTGGGCGGGCGAGTTGTGAGCCGTGGCACCTGCTCCTGCACCACCGGCTGCAGCTGTGGTGCGCTCTCGAATTGTGGATACAGTTGACCATTGGAGCTGGGGAATTCCACCTGCGGCCTTGAGCTGTAGGTGAACAGAGTTTGTGGCGTAGCCGTCGTGGAGGTAGTCGAGGACGTCGTTGTAGACGTGGAAGTGGAAGTGGAGCTAGTGGTTGAAGTGCTGCTCGGCTTGGTGCTGAGTGTATGGAAGAAATCATCGCCGCCAATTTGATTCAGTGTATCGAAGGGATTCGGTGTCTTGGCTGGCGCACGGTAAACGGGCTGCTCCACGGCCACATGCTGTGGTCGCTTCTTCTTGTGCCGCTCCTGCTTGGGCGGCTTCGGCGCGTTCACCTCCTGCTGCTGGTTGCCGTCCTGCACATAGTAGTAGCTGAACTTGTTGCCACGCGTCGGCGCTGGACTGGCAATGCCACGCTGTGGTTGTGTGGTGCTCTCGAAGGGATTGCGCGTGCTGCTTGGACGCTGCGAGCGCACGGGCTGAGCCTGGACGAGCTCCTGTATGGCAGCGCTATCCTTGGCGCGATTGATCACAATGGAACCTACATGAGGCTCGGGCAGCAAAATCTTATTGAAGCCATTGGGCGTGCGATAGCTCAGCGGTGCCACAAAGAACGACACGTCCTGGAGGTCACGACTGTGCGCCAGCTGCGACAGATAAGGCAGATCGAACTTGACATAGCCATCGGGTATGGGCATGCCGGCGGGTCCAACGAAAATCTCCGGCGTCTGCTTGGTGGGCGCATCGATAACCGAAATAGCGCGTGCATTGCGCAGCGCAGCAACCACATCCGACTGAGTGGGTCGTGCATTGGGCCGCAGCAAAAACATGGCCAACGGCGGCTGATGGGCCTTTGGCTTCGGCTTAGCTGTCGTAAACTGCGGCTGCGACTGAACCTGTGCCTGCGGCTGGGCAAAGTTCTGGAAGATGTGCTGCGGCTGTGTTGTGGTGGTGCTTGGTCGTGTTGTGGTGCCAGAGCTGAAGAAGTCGCTGCCTACGCTCGGATCCTGTGTGTAGAACTGATTGATCTGATAGGGATTGACAGCCGGCAGGCCGGCGTTCACATTGAACTTGTTCACCTCGAAGTTGCTGCTCGAGCCGAGGCCCGGCGAGCTTTGCGGCTGACGCTGCTGTTGATTGTAGAGCGTATCATAGGGCACATAGAGCAGCTGAACTTCCTGCTGCTGCTGCTGATTGCCAGCGCCGGCAGCAGCCGAGGTCGCAGCTGGCTTGTTCAGGCCAAACACATTTTCCGGCTCCGGATCTACGGGGAAGACTTGCGGCGTTACGCTCTGTAGCGAAGCCTGAGTGGGTATGGGCTTAGCGTGCGACTTCAGTGGAAAATTATCCTGTATATAGTTCTGCTGATGCAAGGGCTTGCTCAGCGCCTGGGCGAGTGGCTTCTGAAAGTCCGAATACTGCTGCGGCTGCTGGCCAAATAACGAGGGTGGACTGAAGAGCGAGGAGGGAGCAGGCAGCGAGCTACCGCCAAAGGAATGCTGTATCTGGTAGCCCGTTTGCAGCGTAGGCGGCGCATTTGGCTGATTGGCCTCATTGTGGAAGGGCATCTCGAACTTGAAGAACGACTGTGAGGTGGGCTCCTGGGAGGCGCTGCTCTTCAGCGGCGGCGGTGGTCCCTGATGTCGCAGCGGCGCTGCATTGGGAAAACGCTGAAACTGATACGGATAATCGAATGGCTTGCTTAGATCCCCGAAACGTGCACTGGGCGGAAAGGATTGCGAGTAGGTCAGCACACGTCCATTGCCCGAGCGATCCTTGCCGCTTTCATCCAGGGGCTGTGCTAGTGGCACCCAGTCTAGCGCATCGCCAGTATCAGCGCTGCCAACAGATTCCAGTTGTCGCGACCATTTGGCAGAGGATTCCTTCTGCGTTTGTGCATAGCTCGCTGAGGCCAAAAGGCCCAGCCAAACGGCAATGAGTTGCATGCGTCGTTTCATAGTCCAAGTGCCTGCGAACGAAGAGAGAAGTTGAGTGTGAGTGAGTGAGTATCTTAAATTACAAGATGGGTATGAGAATTCCCTGAACTCAATTACGAGAATTCTTTAATTTGAATGGAATGCCTAGTTTCTTAAAGATAGGAACTTCATGAGCAAGTTTCTGCCGCTTTAGAGCTTTTAAAATGTTAAGGTGATCTAGGTCTAAGTCTAAGTCTAACTACACAATGTGTATAGAATGCCTGCTCTGTAGTAGAAATGTTTCCCAACTCCTGTATTGACGAGACTTCCTTCATTTCCTGCATTCCTTTCTTCCTTCCATGCTTCGTATCTTCCTTCCTTCATTTCTTCCTACCTTACTTTATTCCTTCCTTAATTCCTTCCTTAATTCCTTCCTTCCTTGCTTCATTCCTTCCTTCCTTCTTTTCTTCATTCCTTCATTAATTCCTTCCTTCCTTCCTCGCTGCATTCCTTACTTCATTCCTTCTTATTTCCTTCCTTCCTTCCTTCCTTCCTTCTTTCCTTCCTTACTTCATTCCTTCCTTCCTTACTTCATTATTTCCTTCCTTCCTTTCATCATTCCTTCTTTCCTTTTTTGCTTCATTCCTTTCTTCCCTTCTTAATTCCTTCCTTCCTTCCTTGCTTCATTCCTTCCTTCCTTCCTTCCTGCCTTACTTCCTTCCTTACTTCATTCCTTCCTTCATTCCTTCCTTTCTTCATTCCTTCCTTAATTCCTTCCTTCCTTGCATCATTCCTTACATCATTCCTTCATTCCTTCCTTCCTTCCTTTCTGCATTCCTTCCTTAATTCCTTCCTTCCTTAATTCCTTCCTTCCTTGCTTCATTCCTTCCTTCCTTCCATCCTTCTTTCCTTCCTTACTTCATTTCTTCCTTCATTCCTTCCTTCCTTCCTCGCTGCATTCCTTACTTCATTCCTTACTTCATTCCTTCCTTCCTTACTTCATTATTTCCTTCCTTCCTTTCATCATTCCTTCTTTCCTTTCTTGCTTCATTCCTTTCTTCCCTTCTTAATTCCTTCCTTCCTTCCTTGCTTCATTCCTTACTTCATTCCTTTCTTCCTTCCTTCCTTCCTTCCTTACTTCCTTCCTTACTTCATTCCTTCCTTCATTCCTTCCTTTCTTCATTCCTTCCTTAATTCCTTCCTTCCTTGCATCATTCCTTACATCATTCCTTCATTCCTTCCTTTCTGCATTCCTTCCTTCCTTCCTTAATTCCCTCCTTCCTTCCTTCCTTGCTTCATTCCTTGCTTCATTCCTTACTTCCATCCTTCCTTCCATCTTTCCACCCTTCATTCCTTGCCTTCCTTCCCTTAAATCCTTGTAGAAGTTGAGCAAATGGAATTTACAATTAATTCTCAGCTAAGATAATTCTCCCTTGAGATTTTCCGATCATTTCTAACTTCGCGATTGTTTCTACAAATCAATTTCGTGACACAATAATAATAACAGACTACAGCAGAGCTCTAGAAGCGCCTCGTCACGATACGTGCAAAGAGCAAAAAGCACAAAGCAAGGTCAGTGGGCAGCGATTCTATTGATTTGCATTTGAAGGAATGTGAAACCTGTTGGCAGGCCGGGACAGGTGAAAGGTTGCTATAACCACAACCGCAACCGCAGCCGCAACTACCACTGATAATTGCCGGCTATGGCCGGCTCTTGGACTTGGCCAAAGCAAGTCGACAACTCTGCCTCGGCCTAACGGTCCATAAATGCCAACCAATTGCCATAATTGTAGCAGTTGCATTTGGTCATTGCGAGAAATTGCATTTAGTATAAACAGTGTCTATAATTTGTCATCATGAACAATGTGATCAATGATCAGTGATCATTGTGAGCGCTCAACTGTCCAATGATTTCCTCATTGCAGATTGATTTTGCATATGGATAATATGTTAATTCGTGTTGGCTGGGCTGGCCTTTAATTGCATCATCATTATCAAGGTGCTCACACACACTGGCAGAGAGCGGAGATTCCAAAACGAAAGTCAACTGACCGGAGTTGGCTGGACGGTTGAGCATGCGAGCAACTGATCAGCTAACTGGATAACTGCAGCTCTGATCACTTTCGTTTTCACTTTTCCACTGCATTAAAGGCGAACATACACACACACATGTGTGTGTGTTGTTATTGTTACCGTTGAAATGAAAAATGCACATGCTTATAACGGATGCCAGACCCGACCCGACCAGACCAGACCCGCATTAAATGGGTTAAACGAAAGCAAAAGCTGCAAAAATAAAAAACAATAAATGCGAAATATCGTAACAGCCGCCAAAACGGAACTCAAACCCAGAGCAGGAGCCACATAGACCCATTCGTGGAGGTCTACAGGTGGCACAGTGAAAGAAGAAAGTTCAACTAACGATGGAGAGAGATAGAGAGAGAGAGAGAGAGAGCGAGAGCGAGAGAGCTAGTAAATTATAGAAATTAAACACACTTGCGGTCACTTTGAATAGCTGGCTGCATTGAGCGGCTGCGGGCTCAAAGGCGGTGCCTAGCCAAACCCGTTGTCACACCCGACTGACTTCAGGTCTCCGAGAGACATTGGCCTGCACTTGAAATGATTGTCCATATGCACTTATTGTATGTGTGTATGCTGTTGCAGTGTATATGTGTGTATCTTTGTATCTGCATCTTTGTATCTTGGTATCTGTATATTTTTATCTGTATCTATGTCTCCTTCTGTATCTGTGCAAAGTTCTCTTTGTAAGTGCTTAAAATTCTATCTTCAATATGTGTAGCTTTGTATCTATATCTGCGCAAATGTATATATAGCTTTGTATCTTTTTGCAGCATCTATATCTGCAGCTTTGTATGCTTGCATTTGTATCTAAATGTATCTTTGTTTATGCATCTGTATCTGTATCTTTATATCTGTATTTGCATCTTTGCATTAGTATTTGTGTACATGTATCTTTGTATCTGCATCTTCATGTATGTATCCTTGCATCTGTGTATCTGTGCCTCTGTATATTTGTATCTCTTTATGAGTATCTTTCTATCTTTATATCTATATTTCCGTATCTCTCTATCTCTTTGCAACGAAAGTGAAATGTGACAATGCCCTCGGCTGGGCATCGGTCGTAACTTTGTTATTGTTTTTCGGTTCGTTGGCAGGTACTTGCTATTTGCCTTTCATCTTGCAATCTTTAAGAAAGTTAAACAGCATTGTGTGGGCGTCTCTTTAACGAGCATGTGGTTTCTGCTAGCCTTGAATTAATTGCAGCTGGTCAGCTTAATGCCTGAGGCTGCGGTTGGGCGGCCAACCCAGCCGGATGTGTGTTTGAGCCGTTAACCAAAAAACCTAACAGCATATATGGCATAGTCATAGACACATAAGCGGCTTACAATCTGTTCCAGCCTCAAAGACTATGTTCAATCGGCTTTCAATTTGTGTGTAATCGTAGCAATTGCGCTGGCATTGACATTGCCTCATCGACTGGCAGCCGCCTTGATTAACTGGGTGTGGGCTCTGGTGTCGCCGACACGCCCACACAGAGTCGCGCCCCAAAAAAACAAAATTTAATTATAAAGCGCAAAAATATACTCACCATAAACAGCGGCAACAATGCAAATTCAAGTGTCCAAATGAGTTTCGTTTTGTTTCTTAATGGGATTTTGTGAAACTGCAAAGAGAAATATGCAAATAAAGTTGTAAAAGGTGTTGAAGTTATTACAAAATAATGAGGCTCCAAACATTGCAAGTGCTAGCCGGCAAAGTAACTGAATAAATACTCTAGGCAGAAATCGGGTTAGAGATCTTCAAATTATATATTTTTAATATGAAATTGTTCTAAGGAATCTTGCTCAAGCTTAACGCGCAAAATATACGTTTTTTTAATACAAATATTAATATTAAAGTTTTCTTCAAATTTAGTTATGAATTTATATAAAGTTGTGTAGCATAAGGAACAGTATTAAACATATATAAAATTCATGTAAAAAAAATAAAAAATTTAAAAAAAAATATTTTTAAATTTACATTTTTATGAATTTATATTTAAAGTTTAACATATATAATTATTAATATCATTTATAAAAAATTTTAAAATATATATTTTTTTATATATTTATTTATTTTTTTTATATATTTTTTGAAATATTTTAATTATATTCAAATGTAAGATATATTTTATATTTATATTTAAATTTTAAAATATTTGTATTAAAATTATTATATAAAATATATTTATTTAGATTAATATAAATGTCAATTCAATCAATTTCAATTTTAAAATATATTTAATACTTTTTCTTTTGCTACACTCTATGCTGAACCTCGATAGTTGCATTCTTTAGTTCCATTTCTTGCCAAGTCATGAGCACTCCAGATCTTCTTAGAGTATCTTTGGACAGAAGTACTGTAAATATTTGCACATAATGACAGACCTGAACGCTTAAGGTACAATAAGTAGTTAACAGAGGTCTCATGTTGCAATGCATCCCAAACAATATACACGAATACCAATGCAGAGCTACAGATACAAAACATACAAAAATCTCAAATGCGAGCTAAGACTTTAATTGCATTTGGCTGGCAAAATCAACGCCTCGTTGCTGGCCACGCTTTGCTGGCTTCAACGCCAAATGTGACGCGACTTGGGTGTGGGTTAGATGCTCGCAGCAACGCCTGCAGCGCAACATAAAGATATTTAAAAAAAAAAAGCCCACAAAGTGCAGCGTAAACAATTATCAGAGCACATCGAACGCATTGCGCCTGGAAGGCTGCACGTTTGGCAATGGAACCAAAAATAAAAAATTGTTGTTTGGATCACTAACAACTGCCGACGGTTGCTGGTTGCCAAGCTATGAGTCAACAGTTGCCAATTTCCAATTGCCAAGATTGAGGGTCAGCAAACTAATTGAAATGCAACGCATTCAATTCCCAAAAAGTCATAGCAAAAATATTGCCAAGCTGAAGGATGTTGAAACTTAAATACACTTATCTATATAAATATATATATGCTTTATATATATATATATATATATATATATATGTATATATATGTGTGATTTAAGAATTTTATATAAAAGTTGTTAGTTCGATATCTGCGTCTCTAACTTGTCTACTATATGTCTATTTATATGTTTTGGCAAGCTAAACAAACTTAAACTTTTTCAATTAAAAAATAATAAGAGAACAAGTTTTGCAAATGTATAAGAAACAAGTCTCATCTGTGCTGCATCGCATCTCCTCTGTAGTTAAGTTCTCTAAGTGAACTTGCCATTCAGGCAATTCAGCTACAAAGATCGGAATAAAAGTTATGTTTGTTGTCTTAGACAAAAGCCTTGACTTTGTCATATGAAAATAAATGTACAAAAGGCAGTACTTTAAAAACATTATTGATAGAAAGAACGCAATCCTAACATATGTATATTTTTATACTGTATAAATTCAGATGAAAGTTTAGGAATTGGGTATGGCAATATTGTCTAAAGTTTTCATAGATGTTATTTTGTTGTCTTAACATATCAAAAACAGAGTTTGGTATTCTCTTCTTCTCCTGCGGTTCAATGAGTATAAAATATATCTCAAATAACAGCATATCCATACTATATTTATGACATAGCCCAGATGCCCTGTTGCAAAAGTGTATCATAAATCAAAGAGTTGATTTAATGAGGGCTTTTGCACAACCAGGTGCTGCTGCTGCTGCACTTAAGTGGCAGCTGTGAGCTGCACGTGTGACTAACTAAATGACAGACAAGTCTAACTAATTGTCTAACTGTCTCATATATTATGAAGAAACATATCTACATATATAATTGAATGAGTGTGTAACGAAAAATACATATATATATATATATATATATATATATATATATATATAATTTGTGTATTTGCCGCTTTGGGTTCACAAAGAGCTCACAGAGACTCAAAAAATTTGCAATCTTTGGCCAATTATGGAGCTGACGCTGTCACTGCGTTGGGCGCAGGCAAATTTATGGCAAAAATATGAAGCGCCCCTCGCGCCGCTGCGTCGCATTTGGGGCCAAAGGCGTTCAACGACAATGCAAAATTTATGCGCCGCGTGCTTGGGACATTGAACTCCAATGAAAACGAAAGCGACAATGAAATGCATTTTATGGCTTTGACTGCCGCAGCAATAGCAGCAGCAGCAGCAGCAGCAGTAGTAAAAATTGCTGGCCAGTGCCCCAAGGCAGCAGCTTTGAAGCATGTTTTTGGCTGCCGGAAAATTGAAATGCATTAAAAAAAAAAGGTTTCTTGCCACAGGGGGCGTAGTGTAGACAGTAGGCCCAAGTTTAATTTCGATTTCTGGTTTGCTGGGCGTCTCCAGACTAATTCCTCAAATTTTATGCCGCAACGCACACGAACGAGCGGCGGCGCAACGTGAAATGCTTCAAATTATTAAACGAAATTTAAAATTTCACGACGAAAAAACAACAACAAAACCACACAAAATGCTGAAGAAGCAGAAAACTTTCATTTTTGTTTGCTTTCCAAATGAGCCCAGGCACCTGCTCAGAAATCAAATCGAATCAAATATGCCGCCTCGGTGAGCAAGGGCTTGCGCAATCTCAAGAATTTACGACAACCTTCGTTAGGTAAGCGATTTGGAAAGTTTCTTTGCTCCTCTTCTTCTGCCTCTTCGAATATTATGTGCCGGAATGCGTGGCGTATTATCACATTTTATTTTAATTTTAATTATTATCTTACTTATGAAGCAACCAATTTGTAGCCGATCTTCATCACACTTTAACGGGCTGCCTGTCCACTCTATATATAAGACAGCTGCTTTGCATTTGTTAAGTGTGTTAAGTACGCCGAGTGATCAGCGGACATACATATTGCTGCATGAGCTGAGCATGGCGCAGTCGAACTTTAGGCGAACGAGTAAGAGTAATGTCCGCATTCCAGTTAAATGATTTTCACTTTGATTTTTATCAGCATCGATTGATAGCGAGAGTGGTGGAAGTCGTGAAAAGGAAACTTTTGAGGCTTTGCTTAGATGATCTGTACTTGGGTCAAAAGAATTTGGTACTCAAGAATTTGAGTGCAATTTTTTGTAGATCTTTAACAGAATTAAAGAATATCTATATATCTGTATATATATATGCATAAAATATATATTAAACAATCTACTTCTTTGACTTTTAACTCAGTAAATCAAACCTGCTTGACATTTAGTTTCTTGCGCAATTAATTTTTATTTATAAATTCTGCAAATATTTGAAATATTTTGCAGCATTTTTTCTTAGATTTGTCTGTTGGGAAATATTATTATAAATTATATTTATCTGTTGGTATAATCTGAAAATGTTCAGCATTCCATAATCAAGCTCTAGAGGGTCTGCTTTTATAGCTGAATCAAAATATCAGAATTCGGAAATACATTTATATAGAGTATTTCAAACTAGTTCTGCAGTCAAGTACTTGATGCATAAATCTATAAAAACAAGTCAGAATGCTCTAGATGCGAGTGTCCGCCTAGCAGATACATTGAGCTAAGTATTGAGCAACTGTGCTTTGATCGATTTACTGGTTGAATCAAGGCAGGTCTGCAACAGCTGTAATAATCAATATTCATTGGTTGAGTCTAGCTCCCATGTAACTGAAGTACATAATGAATATGATGAAAGTTAGCGCTGATTTGAAACTTAGCTGCAGGAGCTACTTAAGCTAAGTTCGATTTTATATTACAAATAGATAAGCTAATGAATGTACAGATCTAGATGGACTTGGCAGTTGCTGCTGAACAGAACAGTATGCATACTTTATGGACTCGACTCAGTCACGCCTGCCTCTGCCAAGTCAAGTCAGCATGCCCATTTTCCAGCTATATGTTGTAATATATATATATGAAAATTCCCATACAAAAATATTACTTTATTATTGAATCTATAATTTTTTAAAATTATTCTACTTTTTTCAATCACTTTTTAAACAAATTTATTAACAATTCACAATGCAAAAGAAGTCAAGAAATTTCTTTTTATTCATTAACATTCATTAAAACTAAAAAAAGAAATAAATTTAAATGCTGAGTCATGTCCAGAGTTTTGCATTTGAAAGCGAAAGTGTTTTGCGTGAAAGTGCGTGTAGGTATGTGACCACTGTACAGTGCCACCAAGCGCAGTGCAGTAGCCCACCGCCGGACATGCTCAATTGAGCAAGAATTGGAAATAGCCCAAGCTTTAATCACGTTTGCTTTGGCCTTAAAGCTTAATAAACACATTGTGCCCCAGCTTAAGTATCGACAAATTATATATATAAACCTCTATATATATATATGATTTGCATTGCGCAAGAGTCGAAACGGATGCCTGGGACTTAATGAGTCAAAATCACAGTTAAATTGTTAAAATTGCTAAAATTGTTTTTTTTTTTTCGGCTGACCTGATTGATTTCGCAGCCTATTGCGTAAGGATGAGCAACACGCTAATTACATAGAGCCAATTGCATATGGCCAGAGCCAAAACAATGCGACAATTGCAAAAGTTAACAGAGATAGACACAATAACTAAAAGTTGACAAAACAAAAGCCACAGCGTCAGCCAAGTGTGGCCCCCAAGTCAACAGAAGCAGGCAGCCTGAAGAAAGCAAAAGTTGTGTGGGATATATATACTGCAGATATATATACATACATTCTCACAGTGAGCTTGTGCAATAAGCTGCTCGCCATTTACATAAACGAGTGCATTTAGATACACAGATGCTGCTTTATAGATGCACAGTAGTGATCAATTCAGAGACTCGATATATGGAGTAGATGCCGACACGTTGCTCGGACTGTGAGAAAATATTGCACAGAACGACAAATATACATGTCTAAGCACACAGGTACACATATATAGAGGCATGTCTAGCAGCAACACAAACTGGCTAACAAATAGCTATGGCTAGCCTTAACTTGTTTTTCTCTCTCGCTCTGTTTTCTAGACTCCGGTCTAGAAACGAAATTGTACGCCTTGCTTGACACGGCTGACTAATCAACTGTCGAAGCGTTGATCTGGCACATGCACCCTGGGGGCAGCTGCAACTTGCAACTGCAACTGCAGCAGATCACGATTATGCGACAACAACAAAATTTGCTTTTATTTGCTCTTTTCAACTGTGCAGTATTTATGCGGTATTTTCTGGCTGTTGTTGGTATATACCAAACAGAGTTGTAGTTAGGGTCTTCAGCATATTTACGCAGCTCTTTAGTTGATTTTCCAATTTCAATTTCTGTTGGTTATTTGCCTAACAAGTTTGTGTCTTAAGTCTTTTGTTTTTGTGTGAAATTCAGTTAAAGCTGAAAGTGTTTTTGGTGTTCGTTGAATAAAATATGAGACCAATCAACAGCAGGAGAGAGTTAATGATAGGGTTTGGCTTAAATTGACGCTAAACAGAGTTAAGTAATTAACAAAAAACCAAAACAAACGGAAAATCAAATCAAATAAATAGCAAAAGCTTATCTAAGCGAACAAAGCCAGGTAGAAGCCATTGAAGTCAGCGCCAAATGGGAGCACTTAACCTTGTTAGAGATGCGCATCGTAATAATTATAATAACAATTAAGGAAATGTTTTTGGACACATTAACGACAAAGCGTGGGAGCTGTGAGAGCCTTCAAAGTGGAGAAATATATTTTATAAGAAAAAATTGTTTTTCACATAATTAAACAAGAAATATATGGAGTATAAAAAATATATTTATGGAAATTCTATTTTATATTCAAATTTGTTTAATATTATCTCCGAAATAGAATATATTTTAATTTATTTTTAATTTTTTTATGCGCATCAAATTACATTGCTTTTGCATATAAAATATATATATTTATTTTATATATATTATATATATTGCCTAGCTGTATAATCCTTGAGGCTCCTAGATTACATCAAACAGCACAACTTTCCTTCAGCAAGCTTTGAAATAAACTTCTAGTTACATAAAAGACTATAAAGTCCATAAGCATAACATAATCTCTTGTCTAAGAGAGATCTACAGCTGTCTTTCATATCACAGTCTTTCAGCTGTAAAAAAGCCAATTCTAATTACAAATGAAAAACCTTTCTTTATGATGCTTCAAGCCACATAAAACTTGGTAACAAAGAAAAGTCGAGTTTTTATAGCTTCCGTTGGTTAAGACAAAATCTGTTTTTTTTTTATGCACAAAAGAGTTGTAATACCTGTTGAGTGAGCACTAAAATGCGCCTCAATAAACATGAAAAACACAAAAAAAAAACAATTCAAATAAATTGGCCCACAAATTGCTGCCGTTTGTGGCGACTGTCGAAGTTTCTGGCAGAGACCGCACAGGGCGGTTGGCACGTGCAATGGCATAGCTTCTGGGCATTTGGGCAACGGCTGAACTATGTGTGTGTGTATGTGTGTAGGTATTTGCACGTTTCACTTTCGTTCACACAACAAAACAACTGTGGCACGCGACACGTTGCCTGCTGTAGGGCTTATGTGGCATGGCATGTGTTTCATTTATGGTTTTTTTTATTTTTTTCGACTGTCCATAAATGCGGCTAAGAGCCAAATAAATAAACATGAAGCGCCACACGGACACACGCACACACACATATATATTATGACAATAAAGAAAAAGTGAGTTTGTTTTTGTTTTCTTGACACTTTCGCGACTTTGTTGGCCAATGCGTCGGCTACGTGATTTTAGCCACAGCCAAAGGCTAAGAAAAAACGTTGAACGGACATTGCCTGCGTTTATTGTAATTAGAAAGTATTTAATTTCGCAGACGAATAAAAGAAAATCAGAAATGATTTTTTTATATGTTTATAAAAATATATAAAAATAAAATAAATTCCATATATATTTGTAATTGTGTGTGTGAGGCAAGTTTCGCTTTCTTGTTTTTATTTTTGCCAAAAATGACGACAAAATGCGGCACATTAGCTTCGTTATGGTCATATGCCACACTCACACACACACTTATACGGCGGCTTGATGGATTGTTGGCCATGTTGATGATGGCCCATTGAAAGCGAAAAGCGAGTTGCCAACATTTGTCATAAGCAGCAGCAGCAGCAGCACTCTAGTCTACTCAACTGTCTCGCTGTCTATGTAAATGCTTAGATAAACCAGGTTATTTTTTCTTGCTAGCCGAAATTTCACTTAAGTGAAAATTGGGTTGAGTTGGTCTTGTTAAGATCTTTATCTAGATGGCTCTTTGTGTCAATGGGTCGACTGCAGAGCATCCGCTGTGCTGCATCATAAATCGCTTGAACATCATTGACAGACGTCTCTAGCTCAAGCTCTATCGCTATCGCTATCTTTATCTCGCTCAAATTGCATGCCACTTGTTGAAGATGAAAACAAAAATCAAATTTCCAAATAATTAGAGCATGAAAATAAACAGCAAATTGCGCGCTATGTTTGTGTGTGTGTGTGTCTGCTTGTGTGTAGTGGCTGATAAATTTCTATTTGCCTTTTTTGGCTGATGCTACTTACCTTTACAGCTTCAGCTGCTGCAAGTGGGCAGCACTATTTCGTATATGTCGACCGCTCCCTCTCTCTCTCTCTATTAATGTTTTAATTTTGGTTTTAATTTGCGGGATTAGCAAAGGCCACTCGCGTATGGGGGCCAAAGGGGGGCTGGCAGTGCAATGAACGCGTATGAAAATTTCACTTGCTGCTATTTTTACAAAAAATATCTCCCACTTGATGGCACAACAAAATGCAGCAGCAACAGCAGCAGCAGCAGTTGCAGCAACAACTACAAACACAAACAACTCGTTCAGGAAGCGCACGCACTTTCAATCCACTCTGGTACCACTGTGCACTGGTTACAGACAGTTTACAATTTACAGTTAACAGTGAAGATTTGCTTGAGCTTGAAGTTCGTTGTTTTTCTTAGCCGGAGCTAACGCGTCTGCATCGCTGGCGTGCCGTTAACAGACTGAAGAAATGAAAAGCGTCTGTGGCCAAAAGTAAGTAAGAGTGGTTTGCGGTTTGCTTTTCAACCGCCGGCGCCAGCGTTGACTGCGCAGTCAGCGCAGCGACGGCAGCGCCGCGACGCGACGCTTAAAGCGGCTTTAAAGCATTTGTGTAGCTGCAGCTTTTAGCCAGGCCACAAAAACTGTACCAACACGCACACACACATGCGCACACTAACACACACACACGCACACACATAAAGCGCACACACTCACATATAGTTAGTAGCTAACAAAAGACTTAGGCAACAAACTTGCTCGCTCTTCCACTGTTCTGCCACAGGAATTTGATGTTGTTTTTGTTGCTGTTGACCGGAAAATTAGTTCAAAGCTATAAATGTCGCCTCAACTTAGTTGGCGTTCAAGTGCCGTAACTTCGTCTTCAGCACTTGAGTAGCATTTCGCAATTGTCGCCAAGCGCCCAGCTAAATCGATTATTGCATTTGGCTTGAAATCAAATCTGGTTGCAGTTGCTTCTAGCCATGAATCATGTGCAGCAGCGGCTGCTACAATAGCAACATATTTATATATGTATTGACTCATTGCCACGTCTTAGATCCGTATATCAAGCTTTAATGGGATCTAGCTGCTGGCATGCGGCACTCAAGGTCGTCTCGCGATTCAATTCTCTGTTACATAAATTCCATTGTATTTAATTAGGTTGTTTGTTTGCTGTACTCACTGTACTTAGTTTTTGTTATGTGGGCAGCCCTTGTGTGGCGCATAAGAAGTTGGCTTTGAAGTTGGTTTAATTTAAAGATATTGTTTAGAATTCGCTTACAATTAATTTGCAATTTAATTGCTCATAACTTGTAGATGTTGATCTTGAGGAAGCTGAAGCTGAAGACGAAGCCGAAGCTGAAGATATTTTCTCTTTATTAAAAGTTTTCAGTTTTTCTTGTCGAGTCATTTATCTTGTAAAGTAAATCAGCTAAAGTTTCCACCAGCTCAGAGCTCTCACTTCATTAGCATTTTTAGATTGGGTTCTTAGGTTTTTGAACTAATTAAAAGAAAAATAAAAAATAGATAAATTACTAAATTTCAAATAGAGAATAAGGATTAAAAAATTCATAAATCTTTATAAAATTCATAAAAATTCAAATATTGATTATGAATGAATCTATATATAAATTATGTAAATGGGATGTATAAAATATGAAGAAGATTTGAAAACTAGCAGAAGAGAATGGCAGAGGAATTGTGGATAATGAAATAAATGAATTAAATAAATAATAGTAAAAGAATAATAGTAAAATAAGACATAAAAATAAATAAATAGTAGTAAAATAAATAATAAAAATTATTGAGTAAAAATTAGTAGAAAAAAAAATTAAAATCAACTTATAAATAGTAAAATAAAAAAAATTATAAATTAGAAAAGAAATAATTTTGAAAAAATAAATTCTTTAAGATATATTTCCACTACGCCATAAAAATAGACAATGATTTATAATAAAAATATATAATAAGAATATATGACAATAATATATGTATATAAATTTCTAAAAAAAGAAAATCATCAGCTTCAAATTTATTACAAATGCTGAAAGATTCCCATTATAAACAAGAAATAAATTCTATAAAATTAACCCACATAAATCTAATAAAATAGTTCCGCAAGAAAATAGCAAATAAAAGCTAGAATCTAAAGAATTAGTAAACAGAATCTATAAACAGAATATGATATATAAATCTGCTGAGATAGGTAGACGAGTTCGATTAATTGTCTGCCCAAATATGCCAAGCCTTCTAAGCACCCTTAACAGCCTTCGTTTATAATGTTGCCTTTGTCTTGTCAAGAATTTTGGCCTTAAGCAGATGTTGTACTTCTTATAACACCTCTTCTTGTTGTTGCTGAAGATATTTCTATAAAGCAATTAAAATATTCTCAGAGCAAAGTTTTGTCTTAATTTCCGCCATCAAAGCAGCTGCAATTGTTTTGCTAGCCTTTTATAGATCGTGGAAATTAAGTTAATTAGCATAGATATACAGCCATACAGACAAATATATATAGTGATATATATGTTTGTATACGTTACAGTCTATGCAAATTGTGTGTACATTAGGTAACGACTCGAAGCCGTTTCTGCAACTTGTCAAAAATTGTGTTGGTCAAAGACGAAAACCATCAACGAGCTGCGGCTTGTGGCCTGTAGCATGTGGCAAGCTATGCGTTATGCATGTAATTCACTTGCCGTTTTTCTTCTTCTCTTTTATGCGCTAAAAGCTCTGCAAGTGGCTAAAGCGGGTGTATTAGCTTTGAGCAAGTGTGTGTAACAGAGAGAGGAATGAGGCCATAACTATATTCCTAATGAGGGCGATCAACTGAGCTGATTAGCCAAGTCTATCAGTATCTATGTCTCTCTTACATATTGTTGCTCTTTCCCATTCCCTCATAGATGAGAAGAGCAATAGATGTCTCCTATATTTTGGTCTCTATATTTGTCTGTCCTTCCGCCTATCTATCGCTCTCACTATTTATCTCTCTATTTTTATCTAGCTCTCTCTTTTCTTCTCTCAAAATCTTTTTGTATTGCTCTTTCTCACTCTCTCTTTCTTTTTCGCTTCTCTTCTCTCTGTCTCCCCCTCACTCTCTCTCCCTATACAGCAGATTCTTGTGTATACGACTGTCTCTGCTCGTATCAGGGTATCTGGCAGTCAGTCACTCCCGCCTTAGACGACTATTACCTGTTTGATAATAGACTTGAACTACGTGGCGTTCATTGAAGCGTGACGGCACTTCCGCTCTGCAGCTTTAGGTCCATTGTCTAGAAGCAGAACGAAACACTTTCGTTTTTATAGCTCAACGAGCAACGGCAGCAGCAGCAATTGAAGTCAATTGACGATGCATTTGTTGACCTTTTCACAGGTGTTTGTTGCCGTGGCAAATGGCGCTCACACGCCCAAATGCCAACAATGACAACAACAACAACGGCGACAATAGCGACCTTCAGTCTTCGTTTATGTATTTTATGTTTAACTCAGTTTTTTTTTTCTGCTATTTTTCCCAAGCGTTTTCCAAGACGTATGCGGAAAAGCTTAGCAAATAAATTTGCATAAAATGCGAGTCAAAATGCTCCACTTGAACTGCAAAATCTTTTCCCACAGCTAATTGAGTTATGTGTCGCAGTTAATTCATGGTAGAATTTTGTCCAAGTATATTTAAATGAATTTGTTGTTGCGTGTGTTGCGGCAGCTGATGCAACAGTGACATGCCCGACGACAGCTTGCCACTTTATTATGCAACATCCCAACTGGCCAACAGACCAGATTTGGCCAGGAGACGCATCGACGCATCGAGGCAGCGAGCCATCGCGAATGCCGTCAGCCATTTCTCGAAACTAAAACCACTTTTTTGATTTCATTTTCGTTTTTTTTTTTCGTCCACCTGCAATCCTCCTTCCCCCCTCCCCCAGCCCCCATTATCGTCGTCTCTCTGTCTAAGTTTGGCTTGGTGCCAAAATGCCTTACGATTGCCATATATAGAGTATATGGGACTCTTTGAAAAACACTTCCTGCTGCTGCTGCTGCTGCCGCCTGTGGTCAACTATGCTTGAGATCTGGTCGTAAAATGGATTACAAGTGCGCCCCAGAGACACCACACAAGGCACACGCACACACAAATTCAGGTGTTTGTGGCTCAGTTTGGTTTCCTTCCTTATGTCTTGGATTTGGGTTAGCTAAACATTTATTCAACTCTCTTTGTTGTTGCTGCACTCCAATATGGGGCATGCCTGGCACATGCTGTGGCTTTGCTACCACTTTTTTTGAAGTGTATTCCTTTTAAAGGTGCTGTATTATTGGCCACTTTTGAGTATTCACTTCCTAAAGTTTTAGGCTCAAAGTGGTTGGCCATTAAAGAGAAAATACTAAAGAGAAATCAGCCGAAGTTATGAAATATATTTAGCTGCATGCAACTCAAAATACAATAAAAAAATAATAGAAAAAAATATTAAAATATTGAATATTAAAATATTGAAAAATATACATAAGCAAATCTAAGAATATATTTAATAGTAATAATAATCTATTAGAATTTTAATGCAATTCTTTCAGAATGTTTTCGCAACATTTTAATATTTTTATACACTTTAAAAACTATAATCTTAAAGAAGATTTGCTGTAAGCACGTTTCACCTAAAAATAACTGGTTCGCCAATATGCCTTTACACAATGCTGCACAGGGTATTCACTCGTCACATGCGCTCAGTTCTTAACGAGATTTTGATGTCAAAGTCTTTAAAGATTCTTTGCCAAGACTTGAAAATCGTATAACAAGCGATACGTCTCTCTGTCGGGAGGGTATTCCATTTACCATAATCGTCCATTTCTGGTCATTTTTGTTTGTTTGCCGTTTGTCGAGTTGAGTTCGGACTGCAATTAAAATTTTGTAATATGTCGAGCGGCAGCAACAAAAATTGTGGCAAAACATTTGCTTTGAGCAAAAAGTTGTGGCATGGAATGTTGTTAACAGCAAATAATTGAAGCGCTTTCAAAATGATTTTTCAATTTCACTAAACGAGTATGAAAGAGAGGGAGACGGAGAGAAAGAGAGAGAGAGAGACGGAGAGAAAGAGAGAGAGAGAAAGATATCTACTCCATATAGCAGAGGCCTTGCAACGCCAATTTGTTTAACTAAATAATTATGCA